CACTTAATTGCTTTTTCCACGATGTTGCACTGATCCCCATCGGGCCCATGATAAGAATAAAACTTAATAGAATTGTTACGAGCTCTCAGAAAGTCTAACTTAAGCGATCTAGTCGTCTACATTCCAGATACTGATGGGTTTGTTATCATTGATTTTGTAGGCTCATATATTTTTCGAAGACATGCAGAACAATTGAATAAAAAGCTGTACTGCATACATTGCTATGCCAACTTGAACGATCCCAAATATGGGATTCACCTAACCTATCTATCAATTCCGCTTTTTTCTCGGTTTTAGGTCACATTGGCTTTGTGTTCGGGCCATGACGAAAAATGCAGTGAATTGATACATAATGCGGCTGGAGCAGAGCTAGGAGAGAGTTGGAGCAGCTGTAAGCTGGCGGAACGAGGTGTTGAAATATGCGGTCAGCGGTGGGAGATTTAGCCGAGCACAGGGGTATGCCCTCCGCGAGCGATCAAAAAAGGATCTGGTGTAAATCCATGTATATCGGCAGCGAAAATGATAGCAGCGTTTCATCCTGTTTTCTGCCTTTTCCATCCAAATCTTTTGCGTTTTTCAAAAGCTTAGTGACAATTACCAAAAACTTAAATCGTAGCAAATTCAGTTACTTTGTTGACTGAAAAATTGTCGTCCCTTACCAGACTCAGTGACGGCTGTTTTTATTTTCCATCAGCCCGTAAATATTACATCAATGGAAATCCACCCGTTAGATTTGCGTGGACAGGAGCTTTCCAATGCTGTAGCCAAACCTCATACCAGTTTGAAGGTCATAGCCCAGCTTAGCTTAATACGCGATCTAAATGAACATAATGAGAAATTATCACATCTGTTGTGGTCTCGGTCCTCCCGCGCCTCAAAAGGCGTCTTACTGTTTACAACGTAAAGATGCAATTCCGAGGACATATAGATACAACAGATTACTTGAAGAAACTTTTCAAAATTTGTCACATATTTCATTCCAGTGCTATTCTTGAGGAGCGCAACCCATTAATGGTTCCCAAAATGGTATCTGCCATGCGAAAGTTTACTAGCCAGCACCAGTCAGTTTGTTATCGTTTTAGATCATTTGGAGACCATGTTGAACGGTGCTACACACTAAGCAGTCCCAGCCAAGCATTTTGCATCATAAGTTTGTTTGTTTATATTATATAAATATACATATATATATATATATATATATATATATATATATATATATATATATATATATATACATGATATAATATTATAAGTTTATTTGTAGAAGTTTGTAATTGTACCAGCGGGTTTAGAAAGCCTTTAATTCAACCAGCACCGTTCTCCGTTTGGCAGCATTCTCATAATGCTCCACGAAAGTTCAACAGTATTTGCACTTCTATATAATAAATTCACTATAAGGTTCGTCGACCCCAACCAAAACGCTTGGCCTCACCAACACCGAGCTACCGCACGAAACCTGTCGACAGCGACAAAGACGGAACACGCCGCGACGACAGCGTCCGAGTCGTGTCCGCCTGACGGCGCGCTGGCGCGAAGGCATCGTGCTAACAGAGACCTGTCTGAGACCGCGCGGGAGCGGTACCGCACCGAGACCTGACCTCGACAGCGTCCGAGTCGTGTCCGTCTGATGGCGCGCCGGAGCGAGGGCATCGGGCTAACAGGGACCTGTCTGAGCCCGCGCGGGAGCGGTACCGCACCGAGACCTGACCCCGACAGCGTCCGAGCCGTGTCCGTCTGACGGTGCGCTGGCGCGAAGGCATCGTGCTAACAGAGACCTGTCTGAGCCCGCGCGGGAGCGGTACCGCACCGAGTCCTGACCCCGACAGCGTCCGAGCCGTGTCCGTCTGACGGTGCGCTGGCGCGAAGGCATCGTGCTAACAGAGACCTGTCTGAGCCCGCGCGGGAGCGGTACCGCACCGAGACCTGACCCCGATTCGACATGCGGTCCATCATTACCCAATTACGCTCGCGTTTCGGCCGGCGACGCCAGGCGCTGTGTCTTGTTACGCAACGGGCTCGGTCCCTCCATTTGATCTGATACCGGGCCACCTCAGGGGGCTTGCTCGTTTTGTGGTAATCCGTGAGCATTTGTGACATTTCATGCCGAGATCATATTAGGAAAGCTAGAGCGTTCTTTACATCGATCGCTGGTCTTCAGGATTGTCGTTACGCGAGGGAGTAAATCTGCGGCGTTACCTAAACTCCTAAATTCTGTTGCGAATAGCGGTTATTGAACTTCCCACCCCTCGAAAGAATCTCTGGCATGATGCCAGGGTCGTCAGCCCACAGTGTGGACCATCTAGGTATGATATCCGGGTGCAGATGCGCTGTGCCGGTCAAAAGGAGCGCTGTCGCGTCACCGCCTTACTCATATCGGGGTCGAGTAGCCAGGAGGGCCTGCACGTTGAATAAAATGTTCGGCGATTGGTGACAACTTGATCCAACGTAACAGGGTGTATATTCATGTAAAGACATATTCGGGTGACGTCATGACTTGAAAGGGATGAAATATGACGTTGTTGTGAACCTGTCCTTAGTGGATCTATATGTACTTAGTGAATTCCAGTTGCGCCGGCAACTGCCAACATCCCGCGGTGAGTTGTGCATACAATGTATATGTGCACATACATGCATAAATACGAGCCCATTAGTTTCACGCAGACTTTGGTCATGACTTTTACCCCTAGGTTCTGTTCACATTGCTTCGAGGCGAGAAGCAAACACGCGTGGAGGTGGGCACCGGGTGGGCTATTGGGTTCCGAAGGCTTTCCCAACATCCAATAAAGTAGGCAGGGTCAGCACTCAATCTCCGCCTGATGAAATCGGGTCACTCGAACTCTCCGCCCGACCGCGCGGACAGCGCAGACACGACCAGCTCCTAATGATCAGTCTGGGTCTCGAGGGTCTGGGCCAATTTCGGGGGTAGGTGAACAGCACAATGCGTCCTTACGCCGAGTCGCCCGGCCCCCGACGACCGACATCTCACCGCGATGTCTCGGGGGCGGTTTGGAGGTCAGGCGTACAGCGGGCGTCGCGGCTCGGGAGATCACATCGGCTGGCTCCGAGACACGCTGCAGCGACACTAATCGATGGATGAACGTGTCATGCACGACGTCGCCCCGTTTGGCTGGACCGCAGAGGCGGTCAGATCAGGGCGGACTTTCCAAACGGTGCGCCGAAGGTTTGGAGCGCGCCAGACGGCGCTCCAGCTGCTAGCGGATGAGGCATTGCCGGCATTAACTTTGTACATGATACAGGCGTTTCTAATTAACTTTTTATGGCGTGAAATGAATGGTTCGCAGGTTTATGGGTGTGGGGAAACGGGCAAGAGTACGTTTTCTCTCTCATGGGATATCGGCTCGAGGGGGCCAAAATATTTGACGCTCAAGAAAGCACGGCAAGGTAAAAGTTGATTATCACCAAAATTTGGAATTCGTCTTTACCTGTCAAAAAACCCTGCCCTCCAGTCAAAGAGCAAGTGACATCTGCCAGCATTGTTCACAGCAAAATGTCAGGGAGCGTTTAAGGACAAGTAGCGGAATGGCAATGGACATTAACATAACGCGCGATGTGCGATCGTTTTCTTAGTTGGCTTGTCGCAAGCAGATCCCACTCTAGCAAACAATCTGGTTGTTAACGAAAGACTAGTCGGTTCCACCTTTGCTTCGGTTTCAGCCTTTGCGTATCAACGCATATACCGCGTTGCATATATTTTCATGTGTTTGCTTCCTGTAGTTCATTACACTCAACTGTCTGGACACGGAGCATGAACAACTCTATACGGATTGTTCAGACGTGTCCAAAGCTAGCGCCATAACTAATCAGCTCCTCACTCATTACTTACGGCTGTGGGCTTCGGACCCCGTGCTATTTTTAGGCCTTAAGGCGCTGGGTCCTGCCACTTCAGATGCCTAACGGGGCGTGGGGCCTGCGGTGTTGTCATAGAAGAACGTGGGATATCTCAGCAAGGCTTTCCTTGAAGTGACGGTGATGTGCTGCTTCCGATGGGTACTTGCCAACTACCAGACAGAATATATATGTATATATATATATATATATGTATATATATATATGCATATTTGGTTCATAGACGGCATGTTATTGCTATTTAAGGCATTACTACAGCCCTGCCGTCTTTTCAGTTCAATGCATGGATTATTACTGGACCAGCTTCTGCTCCCGTCTGTACTGGCCACCGTTTCCATCTGCCGGCGCATGTCCATTGTTCCACATTTCGTCGCGGCATTCTGCCTGCTGGGAATATATAGTAGATATTGAACGTGACATAATTCACACTTATTGAGTCCGCATTTCTACCCGCATGTTAACAGTTTGGAATTTGTCTTGATCGTTTTATTCATTGTCACAAACTTCTGAAAATTAAGTGCATTTGAGTATTTATAATAAGCAATATCTTGCGTCTGGTCATTGATGGATATGTTAAATATCAGTTTCCATGAAGCGTGATCAGACCAGAATTAACGTATGTACCTCTGAGCTGGCATGTTTTTACTCTCAATTAGTGCAGGAGCCAGCGCCGTGCTTGGCATGCATCTGGGCGGTTGAAATATTGATGAACAGTGCATGTGTCCGCGACAGAGACACATTTTTCTGACCTCTGCGGACATGTCTTCTGGTCCCCAGGTCAGGACGTCGCGAGGTCAGATCAGACTGTGACGGGTTCAGTCACGAATGACGATCTGGATCCTGGATAAAATTAGCCCGTGAGTGCACATCAAAGGATGTCACAAACTTGCAATCGTCAAGCCTTCCCACCCATCCGCCGCATACGTGTCCGACTCGCCCGTCGCGCAGTCTCGGGCACCAGCTGTCCGTTACATCCGTCTGCCGCCCCGGGTCGCGGCGCGGCCGGCGGGTATCCGGCCGCGGGCTGACCCAGCTTCGCTCTCCAGCGACGCGGCGATGACGCGCGCCGGCGGTGACGCGGCGCCGGTGGCGGCGGCCGCCGCCGCCGCAGCTCAGTTCGCCGCGCGCCGCCGAGGAAGTGGGTTGGACCGCGCGCCGAGCAGCGAAGCCGCGCGAGACAGAGTGCCCGCCGCCGCCGCCGAGTGCCCGCCTCTTCGACGTTCGTGTCGGCACCGTTCCGTTAGAGGGAGCCGGAGCAGGGCTCGGGACTATGTCCCCCCGACACATTGACGCCAGGTGAGGACTCGACCGCCGGAGAGATCCGGGAAAGAGGCGCCGCCGCCTCTGGCCGGTCGGTGACGCTCCGCCGGTGAAACCCTGTGCGCTCGGCCGGCGCAGGGGCGTCACCAGCGGGGCATTGTCGGACGCCAGCCGACCCTGGCCCGACGCGCTGGCTGGTGAACCGTGGCCGGACCGAAAACAAACGGCGCGGCGGCGCAGTCAGCGGCGACGGCGACTATTTGCGATGGGGTCGGTCGTTGGGGACTGTTCCACCAAAGCGTGCCGTCTCACCGTCGGGGTGTATCAGGAGTTGGAGCCGGGCCAGCCTAACGGCTCACCTTGTTGAACCGCTCGAATGTCCCACTGTGGCTGACACCGAGGTCTCCGGGCTGTATTGCGGGCGGCAGCCAAGGACTCAGCGAACGTTGCGGAGAGCGTTCACCTTTAATGCACGTCCCGAGTTTATGGTTGTGACCCCTGAAGCTGCCTGCAGAATGTTACAGAACGAACAGCTCCTCGCGGTGCCTAGATGACTGTCAGTCGCCAGACAACGAATTCTGACTGACGTGTGAACCAGGCGTGTCTTGCCTCGCCCAGTAAACTAAAAACGCATTTTCCTCGGCCTTTTATGGAGCTAAGCTGGTACAGAACGCTGATTCGCGTGTTTGAATCAACAAATCCTCCGTGTTTTTATGCTGGCATGTTGTTCGTTGTGCCCGATAGGACTGTGCTTCCCGTCAGGAATGACCCTCGCGTGCATGTTCGTTGGCGCGACTTTTGTCCCGCCCGTAGCCACGTTAGGGACGTGGCCGTCGCCGTCAATCTGTCTTCCAAATCACCCGAAGCGCAATCCCGCAATCACATGATTTGTAGCGGCGGTGGTACCGTTCGCGGCACCGGTGCGTCACTGGAAAACAGAGAGCCGCGCCGGCTCCGACGCCGGTGGGAGCCCGCCCGCCGCCCCCCCCCCCCCCCCCCCGTCTCTCCTCACGACGGGCCCGTCCTTGCCCAGCTGACTGCGCGGCCGCAATTCCCTGCCTGGGGCGTAAGAGAAACGGCCGCCAGACTGATGGGCGTCCTGCGGCTGACGGCCGCCCGGGCCGGGGAGCGGACGGGGCGGCGGCCGCGGCGCCGGCCAGCGCCGGTCTCGGCCAGCCAGCTGGATCGCCCCTCCGGAGCGGTGGGGGCACCATGGAGAAAGGCTGGATGCGGAAGGTGGGATGGAGCGTGCAATGGTGGGCTTAAGGCAGAGACACCATCCAAGAAAATAAGCTGGGGGCAGGGCACGAAAGATTTGCTCGTTTTCATCTCAAAGTTGCGGTTGTTGAAGCCTCCCCCCCCCCAACAAATAAAAATTACACCCCTGGCGTAAGGGAGCGCACGAGGAGATGGCCAGACGACGACCAGATGGCGAGGTTGTGATGATCGTTGTGAAAGGCCATTGCTGCATTGTTGCTGCCGTGTCGATCCCCTTCAGTCCCGCTCTTGCTTTTCCAAGCATGGCCACGAGGAAGCTGTGTTATCTGTGACATCCCACGAGATGCTGCAATTAGAAGGCTTTCTTGACCGCGTTGCCACACCACACAATGGCGATTTTTCGATTCCGGCACACAATGTGCCCGATGTTGGGCAACGGCACGCGGTCAGAATGAAGGGGCCCAGCCCGCCACACACACACACACACACAGCCAGACAATGGACCGAGCGGCCGACGGAGCCGACAAGAAGCCGCCGGGATGCTCTGACGAGGGTGTACGGTGGTGCAACGCCGGGGCTGACCGCGGCTGGGAAGCTCCAGACGGGGCTGCTGTCACTGCCGCTGGTGACGTGCCGACCGTTCCGCGCCGCGGCGGTGCAGAGCTGGTGCTCGTCACGGGGGGCTCTGGCTGGTGTTGGTAAGCGGAGAGTTGAGGACCACCACTTGGCTTGGACAGCAGTATGAAGGACACAAAAAGACCCATCGCGACAAAGCAGGACTTGAGCGCCTTCTCTGTAAAGACTCTGTGGCCTCTCGAAGAATGCCTCTAGCCTGATCCTGGCGTGAACGAAAGTTTTTTTCTAGTGTAAATATCATATCGATCACAAACGTTAGTGCCTACAATGCGCTTTTGATCACCAAGGCTGTAAAACGCATCCATGGCTGATGCCAAGCAGAACACATGCCGTTTCTCCTTGTCAGGTGAAAACGACGCCGTAAAATGCGCTGGCGGGGTGGCGGACATTAATTAAGCCCGCCGTGCGTTACGTTGGATGATATTCTGCTTGCGTTCGACCCCAAACCAGTGAACACGCAGTTCCGACGCTTATTGTTCGTCCCAACTGGCGTCAAAACTGACCCACTTGCGGTGATTTAGTGTCGCGGGTGTAGGCACGCACGTAGCATGTTTGGCCGTTGGGCATCGTGGGACGGAGGACCCATGTGCCCGGTTTTGCTTGCGTGCCCCCTGACCGGTCCAGCAACGCGCGGGTATCTTTGGGCGGTGCACCAACACGAGGCGAATGGCGCGCACAGCACCTGCTCCGCCGTACGGTTCCGGGTTGGCCCGGTAGTGCGGAGCAGTAGGTAAAGTATGCTTCACTTCGTAAAAGGAGAGAGCATCCGGCCAGGTCAAAAGAGTCTGCAATTCTGAGCTTCTTCGGTAATGCAGCGTTTGTTCCTCTGTCCTTGTCGCAAGGAACGAGAACTGTAAACGTTTAGTTGGTTTGGGTGACGATATTTATGCCGACATACTGATGTACCTTAAAGACAGTATAAAAATTAATGACTGTTTGATTCTGGCCAGATTGTTTTCTAGCATGCCTGAGTATGGTGAGCTGAGTATGTCTGGACTATGGGATTGAGGCTCCGTATGCTCAGAGCGTTCCCTCACCTGTTGAATAGCCCATTTGTCGTTAAGTGATCTATTATGCTCGAGGTCTTAACCCATTTTCCACGGCGATTAGCTGGCGCAGGCCCTTGTGCGGATCCGGCCGCTTTTATTGTTGCTCGGGTACGCTGATCAGCTGCGCCTATGCGCTTCTGAGCCGAACCGTCGTGCACACCCAGTCTGACCTCTACCCGTGACTGGAATGTGTGCGCTCGATACGCGCGCATCCCGTTGTCCGGTTGTCCACGTGCCTAACTCGCGTGTGACCCAGCTCCATCACCCACCGTGTGCTTGTGCCAGCGCCTTGTCATCTCTCGCTCTTTATCCCTGTCGAATCCTGGTCTCCGTTCCTGACCCGGTTTTGACGCCACTCTGCCCTCTTTGGTGCGTCCGGGCTCACCGCCTTAGCGCTGTTTATTCGACTCTGTAACGGTCTGACATTCCGCGGGTCCGTTCTAGGCCTTGTCAATCGTGCTGGCTTTGTTGTCGTATCGAGCCCAGCGGCTCTACCAGAGAGCTACCGTTTGTGGGATCTGGCACACCCCGCCACCTGGTGCTTATTAACCACATGTAAATCTCAATGTGTGCTGCGCTGCGTTGTCCTGATTGGGGCCCGATGGGGCTCCGGATGGGACCCAGCACGCGGGGATGCGGCCAGATTCATTGCAGCTTATCATCTCTCTCGTTCGAAACACATGCCTCATTCGTGTAAATGCTCACCTCACCATTAACCTTTCAATGGTCACCTGTGTCAGCCTCACCATTATTCCAGGCCTCTGGAACGTTAGTCCCAGCCTCACGTGTTTCTCACCTCACCTCACCCTCGCTGCCATCATTCTCACTGTTAGCGTAAAAGTGGCCCTGGTCCTATATCGATCTTCACCAGCTCCTCGCAAGATAGCCTGTGGATGGCCATGCTCGCACCTCGATCCTTCTCGGCTCCCTTCACATGGGGTCCTGTGGATGGCCATGCTCGCACCTCGATCCTTCTCAGCTCCCTTGACATGGGGTCCTGTGGATGGCCATGCTCGCACCTCGATCCTTCTCAGCTCCCTTCACATGGGGCTCTATGGATGGTCATGCTCGCACCTCGATCCTTCTCAGCTCCCTTCACATGGGGCTCTATGGATGGTCATGCTCCCACCCCGATCCTCCCCAGCCCCCCCCCCCCCCCCGCTTCAGTGGCCCGGTGGATGGTCATGCCCCCACCTCGATCCTTCCCAGCCCTCCACGTCCGTGGCCCTGTGTGTGACGAGGCCACGTCCTGCTCAGCCGGCCGCCGGCTCCCTGCAGTGCGGCTGGCGCGGCTGGCAGTCCGACCATGCTGCCGACCGTGACTTCAGGGATACGTCCCCACTCAACGGCACCGCAGCCAAGGACAGCTGACGGCCTCCGCTGGCTGTCGCGCAGTGGCCACTTTTCATGGAACGCCGACAGTCAGCTGGTGTTAACTTGTCGGTTATAAATGAGCCTGTATTTTACGACTCGTTGCTTTGTTAGTGCGGAAACGTTCCCATTGTGATGGCGTATCCGTTTCAGCTATGATATCCCCTTTTCGAGGTTATTTCATTTTAGCTGTCAAGACTGGAATAATAAACAGGTGTCTGCTGTTTTGAACGAGACTGAGACATATTAATTGACACTTGTTCCAGAACCGGACATAAAGAAGTCGACCATTTTAAGGTGATGTGGAGATGAAACTTTCCTATTGAGTTATTTCGATAGATGGTGGGAACCACAAAAGCGTCCAAATTAACCGCGATTGAACATCCTCTATAACTCGCACTTGCTGTTGCTGTAACTCCGCAAGACCCAACCTCAGAAGCATTTAAATATCCAGCCCTCTTAGCCTTTGGAGCCTCCTCCTGTCCACAATCATGCCTGAGCTCTACCCAGCTGATTCTTGGTCCGTGGGCTTCGATCGCGGAGCGCGGCTCTGACCGTTACCCGGACCTGTCGGGAGTGACGCCGTGAGTCGGCCCGTTTCACCGCTCCCCACCGCCGCTTCCGGCCCGCAACAGCACGCACCGCGCTGCTGCGCCGGCAGCAGCCCACAGTCGCCCGTTACCTGCCTCCCCCCGCCCCCCCCCCATCCCCACCCCGTCCTCCTGCCCCTTAATCGAATGGTACTGCCGGTCAGCTGATATCGGCGCCCTCGGCAGCGGCTTCTCGAACGCTCGCCGCCACCTCCTGTGGGCCACGTCCGGACGCCAGCGCCGCCGCCGCGCGCCTGCTGACCCACTGGCCTATATGGCTGCGCGCGCGCATCCGCCTTCCCACCTGGCCGCCGGTCCCGAGTCGCTGTCCCCAAAACGCGGCACCCCTCCGCCGCAGCGGCGCTCCCCGCGGCGCCCGCGGCGCCCGCGGCGCCACCAGCGGCCGCCGCGCCGGGAGAGAGGCGCCCAGGACAGGACGTCCGGCTCTTCTGGCGCCAGAAGCTGGTGACGTCACGGCGGCAGTGAAAGTTATTGGTCATCGGCCGACACGGAGGCGCCGCTCTTTCGCGCGGACGCAGTCGGACTCTGCGCCGGTGTCCGTCGCGCGGGCGGGTTCCTCCGCGTGACCCGCCGCCCGCCGGCGGGGCCGACGGGGGACCGCCGCTGGCCTCCTACCCGGGCGACTCGCGCCCTCATCCGGTCCCGGCACGGACGGTCCTCTTGCTGCCGGCCGGGAGCGACGTGGCTGGCGTTGCGTGGGCGCGGCGGAACGCTTCTACCACTGGTCCGAGGGTGGCCACCGCCGTCTGGCGCCCTGCCCGCCGCCCCGGGCGTGGGAAAGTCCGTTCCGTCGGCGCTGTCTGCCTCGCCGCCGTCGGACCAATGACCTGGGCCTGCGGTCGGCGCGTGCCAGGAAACCGGGCCACCGCGCTGCCGCCGCTGGAGACCCTCGCCTTTTGGTTCTGGGGTGCAGTTGATTAAACTGTCTTCGGGGAAAAGTCGTCGTAGGTCGCTATTTTCTTCTGTGCACAGGGGCCCTTCTGCGTCAACCTTCTGGGCGTTGATGCAGAAGGCTGTCGTTGTCTGTGTGCCCCGCTAGCTCTGCCGCGCGCTCCTGTTGTTGAGCAGCATCCGGCGTCAGCTCTCGTTCCAACTCCGCTGCTGCAAACGCGCCCGTCAGCCGCCGCTAAACGGCGCCGGGCCGTTTGTCTGGCCGAGCGAGCCGCCTGCCGCGTTATTGGCTTAGCGGCGGTTGCCGAGACCAGCGCGCGCGCGCGCAAAACGCCGCGTAACGGTCGGCGAAAACGGGGCCCGGTGGCGGCGGCGGCGGCCGCCACCCGGCTGCTAACTGCTGTGCGACCGCGGCGGCGAACGACGGCGCGCGGCGGCGTTCTCACCGCGCGCCGCCGTCGCGTGGTCTATCACGGCGCGGCGACATTTCGCCGCGACTAACGGCGCGCGTCCGCGCCGGATGGGCCGCGGCGGCTGTAGCCATGATTTGCTTCCTCTTGCGGCAGCTGGCGAGCGCGTGCGGCGGCTCCCAACGGCCGGTGCGGAACTCGGGGACGGAGAGGGACGCGGAGGGTGGCGCGCAGACAATGGGGTCGGGGCTGCGTGGGGAGTGGTTTCAGCTCCTCCCTCCAACCGACCCTGTCCAAGAGCCATGCGCCGAATGCTCGATGGCGGCGAAGTGAATCCTGCGATTTTGTTTTACGAAAGGGCTACGGCGCGCACATTGTCTCGCGCCTTTGTGGAGGGCCAGTGGGTACGGTATAAAAATGTCATAAAGGCACTGAAAAGCCCTACCTTAAGTCAGGAAGCGAACCTATGTGCCAGACAGCTACAGCGAGTTACCCCAAGTCATAAATACAGCCGCCTTCAAAGCATCCCTGCGGAGGCACGTGAAGAATTTCCCTGGAATCTAGAACGGCTGGCGTTTCGCGGAGGAAAATGCGTGCGTTCTGGAAATAGCATGTGCGCACTTCCGGCTTACTCACATCCGGTGTTACCCAGAGCGCCGTAAAATGGGGCGGATTCTGTTTGAGTTGTCCAGGAGAAAGTGCGACCTGTTAGCATTTTTACCACGGAATATCGCCAGCGACATGAAATTCGCCGCACTACCATAAATCCGAGTCCGGTACGCGCATTAAAGCGAGAAGAAAGAGTGGTCAAATATCACCATACGTCTGGAGAGATGGGGAAGTATGGCCGATAGTGGACCTTTGGAAGGCCGTCATTACTTGGTGGCCAGGAAAGGATTCTTTTCAGCGCTTTGACGTATTGGGCGTTTGCATAAATTGATATGAAAATTCCCCATGCACATGTTGTCCATGTACTTAGGAAAAATGTTTTCATTCAGGCTTAGGTGGCTATGCGTCAAGATATAATTGGTCCTTATCTGCCTTTTCTCATTTTTTGTATATGACGATTCAGAATGAGCTGTCCAGGAGAAAGCGAGACCTACCAGTATTTTTTGTCCAGCGGGTAAGAGAGAGAGAGAGAGAGAGAGAGAGAGAGAGAGAGAGAGAGAGAGAGAGAGAGAGAGAGAGAGAGAGAGAGAGAGAGAGAGAGAGAGGGAGAGAGGGAGAGAATCAGAGACAGAGACAGAGACAGACAGAGAGAGAGAGAGATGTACACACACACACACACACACACGTATATATATATATATATATATATATATATATGTATATATATACATATATATATGTATATATATACATATATATATATATATATATATATATATATATATATATATACATGTGTGTGTGTGTGTGTGTGTATAATCATTCTACTTTAAACTCCTGGGGGTCGTCTAGTGATGTGTCTGATGAATATGTTCCAAGGGATCTGGTGCCATCCAGCAAGCACATCGGGTGGCCATTGTGTGACCTCTGTGCCCTGCGCCCGTGCTGACCCGGATGTTCTGCTTTCAGGTTACCATGGGCGTGCGCTGTCCTAGTTGTCGCCCTCACGCTATGTCGTCCTGTCGCGTCTGAGAAAGGTGAGATGAGCGTTTTTTGTGCTGTAAGAGCCTGTCTTGTTTGGCCCTTTCTGAGCCGTCATCTTAGATCGCACTTAGTATCAGTAGCACAGCTCACTGGAGGTGACCATCAGAATCGTGCCGCGGTCGAAAAACACGTCGTGCGTTTCGGGCCCCGCGTCCCAGATTTTGGATCCGGATGCAGGATCTGAGACTCAGGTGTGTCGTGGCCAACTACGTCCATCACCACGTCTTTTTGAGACGGCAGAACATTGGCCCGATCGGACGGTTATGTTCGGAAGAAGGGTGCGTGCGTGAAGGGTGCGAAAAGGGTGCCCTTTCTGTGACATGAATCCTACATCCGGAATTACCCATAATGCAACTCACGCTTTGGTTGTAGGACATTCTGGGTCCCAGATTGTATGCTCCATTTGCCCTTCACGACCCGTTAATGATGGCATGCATATTCTTGCTATCTGTGGAATGTTTGGTTACTGCTATGACCAGTGACCAGTGGCCAACCCACTCTGCTTTTGAAGGGAAGGATGGCGCTGTGCAGCCTATGGATAAACATGAAATCGAGATCAAATACACTGTCTGGGAATAAAATCAAGCCAATCCCTTAGAGTGAGTCGGTATATATAGGCACCATGTATGTTGGAAGGTGCTGTACTAATTGCCCACTGAAGTACGTTTTCGTGACGCATTGAATTTAAACGTCACAGTAAACGCATTGAGACTGACTGGGTAATATTTCATGCCATGCCCACTTGTGACAATGTCCCAGCAACTAAATGACTCATTAAGTGACCTGACCGGTCGAGCTTAGGCCCACCACGTTAAACTACACACAGTGGGAAAGTCGTCTGATGACTGGCCCTTGCACGTCGGGAGCATTTCTTTTCTCATGGGTGGTATTCTAGCCTGCATGAAAATCAGACGCTCTGTCCATTGCCGGACATGCCGGTAAACCAGCCGTCTCCTTTGAGAGACCGCTGTCGCCGCCGCCGAACGTCACACCGCGGCCGAAGCCGTCCCATCCGCCCGCGGCTGTGGCTCTCGTGCCCACGCTCCGACCGGAGCGTGGGCACGAGAGCACCCGGAGAGCGCCGCTCGCAGTGTGTTGACGTGACCTGGACAGATCCGGTTGCCTTGTTGATGCGACCCGGCCGCGCGCTCCACCGCCGCGACCGCCGGCCGAATGGAGCGTAATTGTTATTTACCGTAGACGAGCGGACGGGCCGGAAGCAGCCGCAAGTGGACTAGGGCTCCGACCAACCCGCTACTTTCGGAGGCGCAAAAACGGCCGACGAGGGAAACCGGCGGACGTCACACGAGACGTGCTTGGTCGGCCCTGGCCGCCTCCGCCGCGCTGCGCCGAAAGAACGCGGGCTCACACGGGTGCGACTGGAGGGCGCGGGCTGACGAGGCACGTGGTTCCCGGAAGCGGTTGAAGGCGGTGGTTTTCCATGTCGGTGCCACGTAACCCGGCGATTCCCAGGCAGGCCGCCTAAGACATCGCTTCGTAACGGGACTAGAAATGTGTGCTGCCGCGAAACGTGTTGATACAGGCGACGAGAGTGAGAGAAAAAGAGAAAGAGACACGGGAGAGAGAAGGAGAGAGAGAGAGAGAGAGAGAGAGAGAGAGAGAGAGAGAGAGAGAGAGAGAGAGAGAGAGAGAGAGAGAGAGAGAGAGAGAGAGAGAGAGAGGGTGAAGCCACTGGAAAGCTTATCATCCTCACGGTTATCACTGCTTAAGCGTTGTGTTACGTTTGTGCCTCATGTTAGGCTCGTTCAAAAACATATTGTGATCAATGGAAAAACGATCGATTTGCCACGCAAAATAGGGCAAAAAATGTGGACCGAAAAGTGATGTTGCTGGGCGCTGAAATGCTGCAGCGGCAGCCCTTGCCGTCGGCTACGGCTGCGGAGCGGCGCGGCCCCGCCTCGACCTCGAGAACGCAGGCAGTGCCGACCGTTCAGAAAGAGCAGGGTCGATGGCACTAGGATTCAGCTCCGCTTTGTACGCCGCAGGGATGTGTATAGACGACAAAATAGACCAAAATATGTTCCAAGAAAGCGACTGACTTTGTAGAACGTTAAATGTGCACGACCCTCATGGCCTGTGGGAGCTGTCTACGTCAGTTATCATGCCTTTCTTTGCGGACATTTGAGGAGATGGTCGCAGTTGTGCAGAACTAGAGTCAAACACGCGAGGGGGCCGGTGCGGAAACCATTTCCGTTGCTGTCCACGTTTAGATGCGAAGTCACGGAAATGGTCTGTTCATGTTTCATCAGCCATGATTACCAGAGAAGCACAAGTCACACAGCGATTCAAGACAGGCGCGACGGGATCGTTTATCCCGAAATAAACACGCCCCGACGTCGCATCGCTTGATGTACGATGAGATGTTCAAGTCACTGGGCAAAGCTTAGTGCATTTTCAAGTGCCTTCATGCGAACAATATTCTGAGCATATGCCGTTTTGATGGCGTCCTGGACGATGGCTTATAATGATGCTTTCCGAGAAAATAGTCGTTGCAGACCTGGCACATAGGTCACAGCTCGGCATATGTTCGCTGTTGACCAAGAGGAGACATTTGTTGCTTGGAATCAGTGGTGTGGTGCAGTTGCGTCATTTGGAAGCCTACCTAGATTGAGCTGCCCTCAAAACAAACAATCGTATTGTCACAGTTGTAGGTTGCTATGTGCAAACAGTCACGTGCTCTGGACCGCAAACCATGGATCACACCGTTTTTAGGTCGTTTTAATGATTGCTGTAAGATCTCAGCTGCCATAGAAAATGGAGGTAGGACGTGAACTGCGCCGTGCAGACGAGTTTGCCGTCAACAAACCTGCTAACGGATCTAAAATTTGCGATAGTTGCTCCGGTAATCGACCGGAATGCGGCTAATGTCACGCTTTCCGAAATGGATCCGACGTACACTCGAGCTTTGCCGAGAGAGATCGGCAGTCGAGAATTACACGGGCGCGTGGCTTTGTTCATTAGGAGGCAATATTCTTCCAAATATTTGCGTTTTTCTCAAGAGTTTTATCACAACTGCCAGAGCCGTAAATCACGGCGACCTAATCGATTTCATCGATTAAATTGTCAAGCCCGTCCAGATGTCTGGCCGACTTTATTTCATGTTTTCTTATCAGCAGATTGGCGTACAGGTGCTCATTAGCGGGCCAGGGCCTGTTAGATTCTATTCAAGGTAGACTTTCCAACGTATCGATCAAACCCATTGATGTCGGCGACTGAAAGTGTCCGGCTTTATTAGCCCAGCTTTTGCTATCATCTGGGCGATAACAAGTGATAATCCTCACAGCTTTCTTGAACCCGCTCGTCCCACGCTGCATAGCGAGTTGCTGTTGATATTTTCGTTCCAATACGTGTGTACGCTGCCAACTATACTGCAACGTGATTGGCTGAGGCAACACATGTATGATCAAACACAGCATAACACAAAATTGCTACACTCGTACACGCGCGTAACGCCGGAAACACGCTTTCATCAATTTTTTTCTCATTTATTCATTGTCTTCGCTAATGCCCGCTTTGAAAGTTGAGCTTTGGAGCACAGCTTTGTCTATTGTGTTCTGTGAAAGTGTTGGCAGGCTATAATCAAGCACATTCATCAGACCATACACGTGTGGGCAAACAGCCTACGAGACATCACAGAACATCTGGTGTCCATGTGACGTCAAACACACACTCAGCATAGGCAGCGCAATACAACTCACAGGTCAAAGCGTCACAATCAACCCAAATGCGATGTCGCCAGTCAGTGCCCTGTTCTGCCCCGCCTGCCCGCCTCGTGGAGCGTCATCCGCGTCGGAGCGGCCCGGCCCTGATCCGTGACCCCCGCCCGCGGCCGTGTCATCGGGCCACGACCGCCTCCGTCACGGCACGGGCCCGTGACGCAACGGCGCGAGCCGGGTCACCGCGGCCGCCGAGGGGCATCGCCGGAGGCGCCGCGGGAGGAGCAGCCTGTGACGGCCGGCTGCAGGGTGGCGCGCCTTTCACGACAGCAGACGGACGTCATTAGAAAGGAATGCCGGGTGGCGGAGGTCGGGGACTCTCCGAGAGGTCTCCGAGAGGTCTCCAAGAGGTCTCCGAGAGGTCTCCGAGAGGTCTTGGAAAGCGTCATGCGGGCGGCGCCGGGTCCTCGGGCAGAACGCGCGGCTCGGGAGTAGTTGAGAGGATTCTCAGAGGCTGCCACGCCCATCTGGGAGAGCGCAAGCAGCCGGGAGGTTGGTAGTTGGCAATGCTTGACGGTGATAGCCATAATTCATACTCATTGGTCCATCACATGCATGCGGAATTCGGGAGCACTCGGAGCTCACAGAGTTGAATGGTCCCACAGAGACGTTCATGGATACACCATCGAAGAGCAGAACCCCTAAAATGGTGTCAGGTTGAGTGTTCACCGACGGCAGTCGGATGACGCCTTCTTATCGACTTTCGAGGCAATGACCCATGGAACTGAGTGGGCCATAACTAAACCATGTTTTCAGCAGTTTTCACAACGCGTGCCTAGTGGTTGCTCTTCCAGAATTATCTGAGACGGACGCGACCCGCTGCCGCTTACGTAACAGCTCGGGTAGCGAGCGTGGTCCGAGCTCCTGACCTACTGTCGGCGCGTGCACGCTGTTGGGCTCCCTTCACCGATGCCGTGTGCGCGCTGATGGGTTCCCTTCACCCATACTGCGTGCGCGCTGATGGGCTCCCTACACCCATGCCGCGCGGTCCAATGGACAAGTTTGGCTGCGCATCCAGTGACCAGCGGGCAGGTCGGGACTTCGAGGGATGGGACTACCACGCATGGTAAAGCCTGTTCGCCTGACTGCGGCTCATGTTGAGACGTGTATGGAGTTTCCAATGCTGCCTTCGACGCCGGATCATAACATAATGGTCGATTGTAACGGCAAGGCTGCAGGCAAGAACTGCTGGCAAAATGTGACACATCACCTTGAAAGGCGACGCCAGCTGACCCACAGTGCTCACGCCGTGACCGGATAACCTCCGACGCCACCGCCACATGCCCCGGATGCTGCCCCCCCCCCCCCCCCCGAAGTGTGACACGGCGGCGGCTGACCTGGTCTTTTTGCCCGCCAGGGGGCGGCGACGCCCCGCGCCGGCCGGGCCGCCCAGCCCACCGCCGTACCGTCACACATGCAGAGGCGGGACAAAGCGCGGCAGGCGTCCCGGGCGGTCGTGTTTGAGCTCCGTGACTGGGTGGGAGCGAGCGGGCGCTGCCGGCGGCGGGCGCTGTGTGACGCGATGTTTGTGCGCGCCGTTGGGAGGGGCTGGGAGCGGCGGTCACGCAACCGTCGGCGCTGCCACCAGCGGGCGTGTGTGTGTGTGTAAGTGTGTGCTCACGGCTACAGAACGGGTGATGTCGCAAAACACGAGCGGGACGGGCAGCAAAATAAGAGCGCTTGGGAGATGGTGCTCTTGCAAGAAAAACTCCGGAGGAAGCAAGGCTGTTCTCTAACGTAGGTGAACCATCTTCGGGTAGCGTATCCCCTGTGAGTTCACTAACAAATTTGTCATGGACATTATGCCTCATGTGCATGAAGTCAGTTACCAAGAATTCATAGACATATGTTGATTCCATGCGGTCGGCAGCGTAGTCAATTCCCGTGAATCATGCCTGTCATGTAATAACAGTGTCCGGTCGCGAAGCGTCCAGTGAGCCGTGCTCGGCCATTGCCGTAACCAGACCGGTGGCACACCGCCGTCCGTCTCCGGAGAAATTCTGCAGCCCTTCCAGCCATGCACCTTTCCTGGAAGTGAAACGCGATGGTGCGTGGACACGTCTGGCGGGCAGACCGGCCACGGCGGTCTATGCAGGGCCTAACCGCCGGCGCCGGCCGGCGTCCAGCCACCCAGGAGTCTGGTTTCGATCGGCACGGGACAAATGCCACGAGCCCGGTGATCACGCTCGACTGCTTTCCCCCACTGCAAGCGATGCAACGAAAGTGACCCGGCGATGAGCGAAAAGTCTTCATTCTTTTCAAGCTGGATCAAGTCATCAAATGATCCCTACGTTCGTTGTGCAATAAACGCTGCGTAATGCGCCGTGTGGTGTTATTTCTCGTATAAGCTGGTTTTAAAAACCAATATTTCCTGACTTACAACACCACTCTCCGTCACCATTCAGGCTTGGCGACCCAAGCTCCCATGAGTTGGCGACCCAGTCATGTTTATGATCCGTCCGTGACCCCCGTGACCTATTGCAGGTCTGGTGAAACCGGGCAACTGCCCGCGGCATGTGCTGCCATCTAGCCGCTGCGTCTGGAACCAGACGGACGAATGCGTCTCCGACGCGGAGTGCAGCGGCGTCGCCAAATGCTGCTCCACTGGCTGCGCCAAGTTCTGCGTGATGCCGCTGTACACCGGTGAGCAGGGACGAATCGAGGGAGTTTCACGGACACCGATAGCGTTCACCCCCAGCAGAACCCGTTGTTGTCTGTGGCCTCACCAACATCAACTGTTGCGACATGCTTAACAGCACATACACAACACAGCAAACATGAAAAGGCGCACCGAAACGCCCATCCGTTACCTCTTCTGACTAGACTGAAGACCAAGTCGGCTAAGCAACATCAGGAAAATCGCTCGGCTGCCGTCCGCGCGCCGCCGGCCGCCGGTAGCGGCGGGCCGTCGCGAGTCTCTCCCCCGCCGAGCGGCAGCCGGCCGGCTCCGGCCGAAGCGGCGCCGTTCCTGCACACTTGACCGAGTGGACGGCGGCCGGACCGGGCCGGCCGGCCGGCCGGACCGGCGCCGTTTCACTCTCTGTGACATACTACCCCAGTGTTGCCGGCGGTCCAGGATCCGGTCCGGGCCGGGCCGCGGCCGGTCCGCCGGCCCGGGCTGCCTCCTCGCGACTACCGGCGCAGGCCGCCGGCAAAAACAGGCAGCTGTGGACGAGCGTGTTGACGCCCCAGCGGCACCGCACTGTCGTTAGGGCGGCCTGCAAATGGTGTTGTGAACGGCGGGTGGTTGGCGGTATAAGTGGAGTGCCACAAACAACAGGCACGGTGGGAAGCGTGGGGCAGACCCACTCTTAGGTCGGCTACAGCGCGGCGCCCCTGTCAGGTGTCTGCACTGCTTATTTAGTGGGCTCGTTGCCCTCGGGCGTTACGTGGAGCCGCCGCAGCCCACGCTGGCCCATTTGCAGCTGGGCCTCCCGCGCTGGGAGGGGCGGTGGGAGGATTGCGGCGAAGCCTGGGTCATCACCCGAGCAATGGCGGCTTTCTCTGCAAACTGGGGCCTCCTGCAGAACACAGCGCCATGCGCGCGGCCAGGCTCGCAGGGGGCTGCAGAGAAGGGCCGCCACACGCTCGGCCCGAGTCATCAGCAGAGACACGGTGACAGAGGACTGTGGCGGGCGAGCGGCACAATTATTGCACACGTCTTGAGTAATTCGGCACGACAGAGCTGTAGTATAGAATATCCGTGTGGTTAAGGATGCTACCCCACATAGTGTGTGGCCTGCCATTTTCTGTACAACTAGCCCAAGGTTTTTCAGATGTCCCAAATACCTTTCCCCACTTGATCAAACCAAACCAAACTAAACCACGGGCCGAAGCCGTCCGATTTGTAGCATGGCTTCATTGATAACACCTCCAATCATAGCCTCACTTTACGGAAAATAACCACCTACGCCAACTTCCCACTCCCATGCTACCGAATGACGGTGTGATGTAATCGCTAACATGGTAACACCTGAGAAACGCTCCACAATGACCACCGTCGGCGCGGCCGGCCCCCGCGCCCCTGTCCATGTGAGGCCCGCGGCTCAGCCCCGCTGCCCATCCATGTGACCCGCCGGCCCGGCCCGCTGCCGCCACCGTCCTGTGGACCCACCGGCCGGCCCCGCTGCCCTGTCCATGTGGGACACGCCGGGCCGGCGCGCTTGCCCTCCATTTGGGACCCGTCGGCCGGCCCCGCTGTCCCGTCCATGTGAGACCCGCCGGCCGGCCCCGCTGTCCCGTCCATGTGAGGCCCGCCGGCCGGCCCCGCTGCCCCGTCCATGTGAGACCCGCCGGCCGGGCCCCGCTGCCCCGTCCATGTGGGACCCACCGGCCGGCCCCGCTGCCCTGTCCATGTGGGACCCGTCGGCCGGCTCCGTGTCCGCCGCTCTGTATGACGCAGCGCCTGACGTCGGCAGCGTGTGAGCAGCAGCTGAAGTTCTCGCTGCGGAGGAGCCGTGCGCTGACGGGCGAGGCGGCCCGACGCGTGCGCATCCCCGACTGCACCCCCGACGGCCAGTTCAGGCCGGTGCAGTGCGACCCGGTCAAGGAGATCTGCTGGTGCGTCGACGACAACGGCTTCGAGCGGGCTGGCACGAGAGCGCGCTCGCTCGAGCTCACCAACTGCTCCAGTGAGTACCGACGCGATCCTTACAGAGACTGTCGGGAGAGAGAAGCGATGAGTAGAGCCCACATATTGTTGGGGGGAGTATCGGCGTTGTGGTCAATGCCCAATTTCGGTGGGTCCTTATTCTCTTACCCGAATTGGGGGCAGGTATTGCTCCAGCGTTTCTTCGATGCGTCTTTGCAGTGAATAGCTTAAAAAGCAGAGTAAGGTATTTCCCAGCCCCACCCCTACTCCCACCCCCGCTTCGCTAAAGCAACGTCCGCCAGACATGCCCCGCGGTACATCCGAGTCATCTGAAGTCATCTGCACGCTTACGCCGCCGACTCGCGGTAGCGCAAGAGAACTGGGTGAATGGCATGCCACCGGTGCAGTTTTCCGGTGAAAACTCGCCCCGGCGGGACCGGTCGGCGACGGGGGCGTTGACACCGGCGTCCGCCGAGCCCGAGCGTCCCGCCGCCCAGCCGATGGCCATCTGGGAGGGGACTCGTGTGGGCTGCACAGCCGCTGCAGGCACGAGATCAAGAGACGTCTGGCGGCCGGCCACCGGCCAAACACGAGCCGCCAGGCGGATGCGCGGAGTGGATTGGCACACTTACTGGGGCGGGTGGTCCTGACAAACGTGATAAGCTGCGGTGTTGGGGGCGCCAGCCGGTCAGGTTTTCACGCGATGTGTTACAATAAAGTCACGATTCCTGCATCAAAACTATGGCCTGGTGTATGCATGACATGTTTTCATCTTGACAAAAACGACATTGAAAAAAGCAATGGAGAGCACGATTGAGATGCCTTTTATAGTCGGCTCCTGCGGGCGCAGCAAATACAGTATTCATGCGCGTATTCGGCGGGTGCAAAGGAAGCCATGTGTCAGAATCAGTCCATAGGTTGACGTGTTAGCCCTGACGAAGCCATTCGTACTTCCTCCGGAAATCCGTCTCCCACGGCCACGTTTGAGGCCGAGTTGTTTGTCGCCGACCCTGCGATAGTGACGCGCTGGGCGGGCGCTTATACGGAGCCAACAGGAAGCTGAGACAAAGGGAGACAGACATATTAAGTGGGAGAGAGGGAGGGGTCAGGCTAGCAGAGAGAGAGAGAGGGAGAGAGAGAGAGAGAGAGAGAGAGAGAGAGAGAGAGAGAGAGAGAGAGAGAGAGAGAGAGAGAGAGAGAGAGAGACAGAAAGAGAGAGAAAGAGAGACAGAGAGGGGGAGAGACAGAGAGAGAGAGAGAGAGAGAGAAGAGGAGAGAGAGGGAGAGACAGAAAGGAGAAGAGAGAGAGAGAGAGAGAGAGAGAGAGAGAGGGAGAGAGAGAGAGAGAGAGAGAGAGAGAGAGAGAGGAGATAGAGAGGGAGAGAGGATTGCGAGAGAGAGAGCGATTAGAGAGAGATGAAGATGAGAGAGAGGAAGCGAACGGATGAACATGGAAAAAGAACAGATTTTGAGTGCGGAAAAATGTCAGATAGAAAAGATGCTGACGGTACAATAAGAAGGAAAGGTGACACAAGTACATTGGGCATCTATTACCGAAAAATCATCTCGATCTATCTTATCGGGGCGCTGTATCAGCCCGCTCAAGTTCGAGCTCGCCCGCTATCAGCCCCCCTGAGCTGCTGTGCCGGCCGTGCAGGCGCGGTCTCGCCGCCCTCTGACCCCCTCGCCCTCACCCTGCAGGGCAGGACGACTGCGCCTCGGTCAACTGCCGCATGCTGTGTCCGTACAGCTTCAAGCTGGACGAGCGGGGCTGTCCGCTCTGCCAGTGCTGGGACCCGTGCCAGGACGTGCAGTGTCCCGGCCAGCTGTCCTGCCAGCTGGAGGAGATGCCGTGCGCCAACGAGCCCTGTCCGCCCGTGCCCACCTGTGAGTATGACGCGGATCCCCTCACGCTCCGCATGGCTTGTGACGGACATCAGCTGCATGGAAGCGTCGTTCTGTGATGCTTAGAAGGCTTGGTTTGTACGTTTAAAGTTTGAATACAGAGTAGCCCATAGTGGTGTTGTGAATCGACGCGGTTAGTCGGGCATGGTCTTTGTGACGGCTTGGAGCGCTGAAGTAGAAAATGGATTGCTTAGATTACTGGCCCCAATGGAAAAATTCATACCTTCCCCCCATTGACCATAGCAAACATAGTGATGTGGCCACCACGGCCCTTAATGCACTGCGTGTGGGCGTCGACATATCTATTATAACCGTTTGACTGTGGGTGGGGTGAGCCTTACACCAATGTGTTGTAATGAGCGGCTGCAGATGGACGTGTTGCTTTTCTGTGAGGACCTGTCATTCCAAGATAGTCGTCCAGTCTACCTGTTAGGCAACAGCCTCAATCATCGAGCGTAATCGACCACATGTCAGGCATAATTGTGGACAGAAGTCCGGTTACGTTGTACAGTTACCAGCGCATGTTATGCCATTCGGAACCATATGGTGGGAAGGCTGTGCTATAGGAAAGTGAAGAAATTTGTTAGCCACTGCCCAAGTGGTTATAAAACTATGTGCCAACAGCTTGGAGGCACCATCTTTGTTTCAAAGAAATCGGACAGGCGCTTACGGAACAGATCGTAGTGGGCACAAGGAAGAAACTCACTTTCCCCAGCTCACTATCGCTCTGACGTCTTCCATTCCAGGCAAACAGCCCCGTTCCCTGGAGACGCTCTGCCTGGCGGGACGACCCCTGACCTTCGCAGAGGGCAACCGACCGTTCCTGTGCGGCACCGACTCGGGAAAACCTCAGTGTCCGCCCCTGCACGAGTGTAACGTACCCTCAGGTCAGCCACGGTGTCCATTTGGCGGCGTCCACTTCCCAGTGTGCGTCCCATGATATGAGTGAGTCTGCTGGCGGCATTCCGCAAGATCATCGCACGTGCCGCGTCAGAAAAGCGGAGTTCATGACGCGTCGCATCTTCGGTTTGCGTGCCTGGTGTGGCTTGCTGAGAAGGGCGCGAGATACTTAGAGACAGAGTTTTTTAGAGTTTTTTTTTTACTTAGAGTTTTTTAGCGTTGCGCCGCTTCTGACAGCATCCTTGTCGTCCCATGACAGTTGTCACACCACAGCTGATCTGGGACAGTTTCGACGCTCTATTGTGATGAAACCGGTCTTTGTGGAAATAGAAAATATGAAAGAGAGCGAGAGAGAGAATGTAGCGTTCGGGCAGTTTAAGATTCAAGAATAACGGAGTTTGGCTAGTTGATTAGACACGCACACACACACACACACACGCACACATCAATATTATATCATATATGTATATATATATATATATATATATATATATATATACATATGTGATATAATATTGATGTGTGCGTGTGTGTGTGTGTGTGCGTGTCTAATCAACTAGCCAAACTCCGTTATTCTTGAATCTTAAACTGCCCGAACGCTACATTCTCTCTCTCGCTCTCTTTCATATTTTCTATTTCCACAAAGACCGGTTTCATCACAATAGAGCGTCGAAACTGTCCCAGATCAGCTGTGGTGTGACAACTGTCATGGGACGACAAGGATGCTGTCAGAAGCGGCGCAACGCTAAAAAACTCTAAAAAATATATAGATATTGGAGAGGTTTCATGATTGACGTTAGAGCGCTGGTATCTTTCGGTTCGTTTTTGTCATGAAAAGATTTTGACAAGTTTGAGCATTCGTGCTCCTTTCTCTTTGATTGACTGTACTCTCACCAACCATCCCGTTCACATATTGCGGCCAGCTTCTCTGTGCCATGCCGGTGTCGATGTCCCCACCACACGCTACACGTAGTTAGTGCTCTGATCCCAACTCGAGTGCGAAACAAAAATAACGTAGATAAACCTATTTAAGAACGACTACCGACTTTCCGCCCACCATCTATGACCTGTCGGAGCTCTGGCTTGTGTGACCCGCGTCGCCGTTTCGCCAGGCGCTGACTACGGTGTATGCTGTCCGTCGATGGAGAAGGCGTTGGCGCCACCGGCCCGCTGCCCGGCCCCGCCGCTCGGCGAGCGGGAGGTGTGCGGCGTGCCCTGTCAGTTCGACTTCCAGTGCTCGCGCTACGACGCGTGCTGCCGCTCGCAAGAGTGCGGCACCCACTGCGTGCCCACCACCAACAAAACCAGTGAGTGTGATGCCGTGGCTCGCCCCGCCCGCTCGAGACGAGCATCAGCGGCATGGCGTTCGAGGTCTGGGGCTGAGGCTCCAGGGTCCGTGGCCTGGGACTGAGGCTCCAGGGCTCGAGGTCTGGGGCTGAGGCTCCCAGGGTTCAAGGTCTGGGGCTGAGGCTCCAGGGTTCGAGGTTTGTGGCTGAGGCTCCCAGGGTTTAAGGTCTGGGGCTGAGGCTCCCAGGGTTCAAGATTTGGGGTTGGGGCTCCAGAGCCCGCGATCTGGGGCTGAGGCTCCCAGGGTTCAAGGTCTGGGGCTGAGGCTCCCAGGTTTCAAGGTCTGGGGCTGGAGCTTTTAAGATATGTTTGGTTCATGTACTGAAAACGTTAATGTTATGACCAGGAGGTACCGCCAGACGAATACGCCGACCTATCGGCGGTACCGCAAAGGTACCGCCAATAGGCCGCCATACGTTCACCAGGGCTTCCGTGAGCATTTCTTGTGTTCCTATCACACCTGAGTGGGTCACCGGCCGTCCTCTCTCGGAGCGCGGACGAGCCGCACGAGCCAGCCCTCGCAGCCCCCTAACCCGTCGGCGCCGTTCGACAGAGTGCGAGCAGAAGCGCCAGCTGGCCGAGCTGATGATGATTAACGAGAAGCAGGGCCGCGGCTACGTGCCGCAGTGCACCGAGGACGGCAGCTTCGAGCGGCGGCAGTGCTCGCGCAACGGCCTGGTCTGCTGGTGCGTCGATCCGGACGGCACCAACGTGCGCGGGACCATGGGCCCGGCCGACGGCGTCGTCTGCCACCCGTCCGACGGTGAGTCACCGGGGTGGCGACCACGCGGGCACGGGCGGGGCCGAGCACGGCGGCGACGGCCGCGCCCGAATGACCTTTCTGACCGTGTGAAATTAAGTGATAAGCTAGGGATTTATTTCGCTTCCCATTGTGAGCTTTTGTTGTGATTTATTTAAAAATTACAAGACTCGTGTGCAGCGATATTCTATGCATGAATGATTAAGTTAGATGTATAAGATGTTAATAAAGCATGCCTGCATTATATATGTTTATATATATATATATTTATTTATTTATATATATACATATATATATATATATATATATATATATATATATATATATATATATATATATAAATACAGTACATAATCGAACGTCCATCGTATGTAGCATCAAATGTTATGAGGCACACCGCTCAACAAAGGTCACACTTCCTCAAGGGAAGTACAAGTCCCCACCTCACCCGTCACCAACTGACATCTGCCGTGCGCCTGGCTCTCGGCAGTCAACCGCATCAGCAGCGGCCGCTCTCTGGGCTGCGCAACGCTGCGCTGCGCCGAGGTCTGCCAGTACGGCCACCAGCCGGACGCGTCTGGCTGTCCCACCTGCCAGTGCGTGCGCCCGTGCGACGAGTACCCCTGCCCCGAGGGCACCGTCTGTGTGGCCACGCCCACGCCCGGCTGTCACGGCCCGCTCTGCCAGGCCACGCCCAGCTGTGAGTGTGGGTCGGGGTGGTAGCAGGGGCGTCGGCGGGAGACTTGAGAAGCCGAAGCCGGCTGTTCTGGAGATGGTTGGGAATGGCGGGATGGAAGATGGGCAGTGGCCAAGGGGATAGCCTTAGTGGATACGGATTATTCCTTTTTTCCTGGCATCTGGCGGCTTAATCTTGTTATGGAATGCATTAGCTGCTGACAATGTGTGTGCCATCGTTGCGATACCACGCAGTTCGATCTATAACTTTTTCGGCTTCGATACGATTGGCAAGTAAAAAAATCATGTTTTATCCGAGGCCAACCGTGTATCTCGTGTTCAGGGATAAAAGTGTTTTAATACCGGTACCGGGTCCGCAGGTGTTGCGTTCGAGATCCAGGGCACGCCCGACATCCCAGAGCAGCCTCAGACCGACAGTCAGCAGACGCCGAACGAGGGACTCACAGAAACTCACCAAAGCGAGCTGATGACTACCAACATGCACCAAATGAAGGCAGCCACGGAGCAGAACCAGCTGCCGACCGAGGGTGCCACCGGCTCGGACGCGACCGCCGAGCCGGTCGCGGCCAGTTTCCCACTGGAGGGCGGCTGGACGGTGGACGAGACTCCCAACGGTGTGGCGCTGGACGGGGACTGGTCGGCGCCGACGCCGGTCAAGGTGCCGCTGCAGGGCGACTGGGTGGAGTTCGAGGAGGGCAGCGGCGAGCTGGAGGAGCCGGTCGCGCGAGGCGCGGCGCCGCCGGCCGACGGCGTCCTCCAGGTGGTCGACAGTGTGGTGAGCGTGCTGATGGACCACCGCGCTCAGACCGGGGACGGCGAACAGGCGGAGGTCGTCAGGGACTACCGCCAGCAGGGCCAGGGGCAGGAGAACGTCGGCGTCGCGCCGGAGGAACTCGACACTCCGGAGGATGGCGGCGAGCAATCCCAGGGCAGCGTCGAGAGCGTGCCCAGCGAATACGTGGGCGACGCCGACGTAGGTGACTTCGTCGAGTACGAAGTGGAGCAAAAGCTGCCGGCGCCTGCGCCTGAGGACTACACGATCGAAGCCAGGGTCAGCCACCAGGGCCAGGGGCTGGGCGGCAGTCGGATCCAGGCGCTGGACGCCACGGAGTTCCAATTGCTGGAGCATGAGCCAGAGAATGCCGTCGACCAGAGGTTCCCAGGCAGGCTGGATGCTGGTGGTGGCGATCTACTGCCGCAGCGCCCCTCTGAAAAGCCAGGTAACTCGCATGTTTAGTGATAGACGGTGAATAATCCTTTCCGTCCAACATTGTTCAGTAGCGTCATGTGACGACAATGCTTTCATATTTTTGCTTTCAAAGACGAATCATCTGTCATGAGATCAAACTTGATACATATCCATGGCTCGCACACCACAAGAGATGTCTAAGGATGTTTGACCTTCTCATACCTGTGATAGAGATGAATTTGCAATTCAAATTTATGTTTTACACATATCGTCCTGCTACTTGCGCCACAAACTGTGTTTGCCGTCATGTTAAATGACACCCTCCCAGCGCACAGACTTTCGGCCTTTATCACGCCCTGCCCACGTGCCGTCTAAGCGGTGCGTGTCGTCACGGCGCGAGTGTGATGACGTCATCGGTGCGCAGGCCAGTGCCCGTACTCGGGCCCGGTGGGCGGCGGCAGCTGTGACCTGCAGTGTGCCGACGACGCGGACTGCACCGGCGAGCACAAGTGCTGCTCCAGCGGCTGCGGCACAGAGTGTGTCCGCCCCCTGCTCGCCACAGGTCAGTCCCGCCCTGCGCTGGTCACAGGTCAGCTCTGGACCACGCGCACTGGCTGTCGAGCGGCGCTGGGGTGGGGTCACGGGAATGGTGGGGCCCCGGGCTGTATGGGCTCCGCACAGGAAAATGTAAACAGTCGACTTGTTGGTAGTGAATGCGTAGGACTCCTCCAGACTCAATGCTTGCGTTGTTAATGTTTGCATGCTCTGCAATTTAGTCATCCGTTTACGATGACGTGTATACCCACGTGGGATCTTCTACCATGGTCAGAAGGCATGCTCCCCTGACCCGAGTACATGGTGCAAGCTCGGGGTTGCCACATCGTGAGGAAAAGTGTGCGTCACGCGGGAACTGCAGGCCTGCATAACACAATAGCACGCACCTGGAGGCCGTGTGCGCCCACCGCAGGCCGCGGCAGCCGCGGAGACTGCAGTATCACACAGCACAGTATCCTACACTTGCGTCAGGAAAAATTGGAACAGCAAGTTTCGGCAACCGGTAGCTGAGCTGCCACCACTGTTGTCGTTACCTTATGGCCTGCCGCGATTTATGGTGGAATGTACTCACCATGACCGCCTCAAAACCGGGGACGGCAAGAACACTTTCGCCAGGATGTGTTCGGCGTTTCGTGTTCGCCCATTGTGAAATGACTTTTTCCGCGCACGGACATTCCGCCATGGCCACCTTGACAAGCGCGCCAAACGCCCGGGTTCCGCAGCGTGCCAGCACGAGAAGGCGGTGCTGGAGGAGCGGGCGCGCTCGTCGGGCGTGCCGCTGGGCCGCACCTACATCCCACACTGCCGGAACGAGGACGGCCACTACTCTCCCGTCCAGTGCCACCCGGTGCTGGGCGTGTGCTGGTGTGTGGACGAGGCCGGTCGGGAGCGGCCCGGCACGCGCGCCGCCGGCCGACACAACGTCAACTGCAGCCGGCCCGGTCAGTGGCGTGTGGACGGATGGATGGCAGAGACGGATGGGGCCGTAGAGACGTCGGCTGGTTACAAGTGGGCTGTTCGGTACTTCAGCCCACGCAACTAGCAGTACTCGATGTCTGACTGAAGTTAATACGGAAGCTAAGAGCTTTGCGACCATCCGGGACCAATCACATGAAAAAGAGGTGCACCTACACTACCATGCAATTTCCAAGCAAAAGTGGCTGTTGTAGGTGTCATAAAACGGGGTTTCTCCCACACTGCCACGTTTTGAACTTCGTTTGCTCGAAGATGGTCGATCCCGCCCTTTTTGCAATCGTATTACGCAACCAATAAACATGAATATCCAGACAGGTCTCGGCGTGTTCCCTCCCGCACGCACTTCTTCCCCGGCGCGGCTGACGCGTTCCCCTCTGCTGGCAGCGCTCTCCTCCTGCCCGCGGCTGGACTGCCCGGCCTACTGCCCGGCCGGGCGGCGGCTGGACGCCCGCGGCTGCCCCACCTGCCAGTGCCACCACCCGTGCGAGGGTGTCCGCTGCTCGGAGGGCCTCGAGTGCCGGCCGGTGCCCGTGCGCTGCGTGTCGGGCCCCTGCCCGCCGCTGCCGCTGTGCCTGCCGGCCGTGGCCGACCCGTGCCCCCAGGGCAGGCCGCTGCCGGGCGCCCGGTGCGGCCCCGGCCAGGAGGCCTGCCCCGGCTCGCACCAGTGCCACATCAGCCCCTTCCACGAGTACGACGTCTGCTGCCCCAAGCCTCGTGAGTACTGAGCGGGTGTTGACGGAGCTCTGGACGGGTGCTGGGTGCACAGGCTGAGTAATGACGCTGATTGGCTGATTGACTGAGTTCAGATGGTCTTCGATGGTGTCTCATTTTTTGCACGGATACTTCTTTTAACTGACGAATAACTAGAGTTGTAACGGTGCATACATGGCTTTGGCTGAACTGACTAGTGCTCGGAGCATGCATTCTGGCAATGTTTCGGTAACTCAGGCTAAGCTTGTCTGAGTATTTCTGTTAATTTTATTACTGCTGACTTAATTCTTCGCGTTCGTTATCAGAAAGGGTTCAGCTTTGGCGACGAGACTGATTAGCAGAAACATATTATCTTGTTATGAAATAGTTCCATTGTGATTAATGCATGTTCCATCAATTCGCACTGTGTTTAGTTATATATTTGTATTATACACTAGCATGCAAACACGCTCGGGGAGCGCGACTAAAATATATGCGTGTACTTTTTGTACCTAGCACTTTGCTGTAGATCGTTTCATTCACCATGTCGTGTCTCTGCGAATATTGTCTCCCGTCAGCGTAGTCTGGCGATCCTGTCATGCGCTTTGGATGCTTTAATCCAATATTTGGCTGGCACGAAGACTCGCTTCGAAAGCCATGCTGAAAACAATTCAGGTCACAGTGGTTGAAAGCTGTGATTGAAACGGTAAGGAATTTTTTTAGCTCAACTTATCCTTCGACCCGAATTTTTACACCATCGCCTGTCCAATCATTGACCGCACTAGCACTTCGGGTGTCAAGATTTGCAATGCCTGTGGTGGTTACATACTGCCGATTTAAAGGTGTGCATGCGTGTGGCATAAGGTGGAACCGGATGTGCGACTCGCTTGTACGCTGGGGACCATTCTCGCATGTCATAGTGTGCATGCCGTCTCGTTTGAGCTGATTTGTGATGGAAATACACAGCATGCTGTTACGGCGGATTGAGTGCATTTTATTTTGTAGCGACATTCCAAACCGGCCGCAAGTTTGATATTCGAGAGCGAAGTGCATGTGTTGCACGCGACGCGTCGGGTTTTTCTCGGAACCTTGCGACATCCCCTCCCGACACCCTCTCACAAGAACCGTCCGTGACCCTTCTGGCCCTCTTAGCGGACACGCGGTCTCCAGATCATGGCCGTTCGCTGCCTGTCTCCGGTTCCAAGAGTCGACTCCGCACCTTCGCTGTGACCTTGACCTGGTATGTCTGCGGTGGCGGGTCGGTGACTGACCTTGACCGGACGGCCACAGGTGACGTGTGCCAGCTGCCGGTGGCCGAGGGGCGCTGCGGCGAGAGCCTTGTCCGGTGGCACTTTGACCGCGAGACCGGATCCTGCCGAACCTTCACCTTCAGCGGATGCGGCGGCAACCAGAACAATTTCGACACGCTGGAGGAGTGCAAGGCCGTCTGTCCAGGTGCGTTGGTGCAGTCGTCAACGAATGCATTGGTCACAGGAATCGTGTATTTCCATACCGGCATAGTTCATGATTTCAGTGCTCTGCCAATCTTCATTGGAAAGACAGCACTTGTGCCGTGCTCATTGTGTACCGTGTATCATAAAATGTGGGTTTTTGTAGGTCACAGAGTCCTTCACAGCCTTTTAGTGCTTCGGTGTATCATGCCTGACTCATTCACTCCATACTTTGCACTTACATAAAGCTAAAAGTCGCTCAAGGTCTCATATCCCCTTCTCCAACCGACTGCAGGATATCACGTGTAAACCCAACCCCTCGCCCCCCCAAAAACCTCGCCACTCACCTTCCCCTCCCGCGCCCGGCAGTGCTGACCCAGTGCCAGCAGCAGCGCGAGAAGAGCCAGCTGGCGGCGCAGCTGTACAAGCGGGTGGCGTTCATCCCCAAGTGTCACCCGGAGACGGGCGCCTGGGAGCCGGTGCAGTGCCAGCCCGAGTTTGGCCTTTGCTGGTGCGTGCATGCCAACGGCACCCAGGTGCGCGGCTCCATGGTGGCCGGCGTTCCCTCCTGCTCGGCGCGCCAGGGCCGCCGGCTCAGCCTGCTGCCGCAGCGCACGCACAGTGAGTGGTCTCGAGTGGACAGCTCCGCTCGCCAGCGCGCGCCGTGTGCGGAACGTTGCTGCGCTGTGCGTAGCGACGTTCCGCAGCTGTTGCTGCGCTGTGCGCTGCGACGTCGCGTTTGACGAGTCACAGCTGCATCGTCGTGCAGCTGTGGCAGCGTCGTCTTATGTCCGCCACAGACAATTTTTTGGATTCGATCAGAACCTTTAGATCGGATGGATTTCTGGAACCGGCGCCAACGCTATGCACTAAGAAGTGCTCGTTGCATGAGAACCTTGCTCCCCGTCCGGGGTCTACGGAAAAAAATTTGCGGCAAAAGCCGAGCGTGACGCAATGCTAGGCACAGTCCGTCCCTCCCTCTGACGTCATCTGACCTCTAGCGTGGCCGCCGTCACAGGCCACAAGCCATCTCAGTCTGCATTCGACCTGGCTTATCTCGTAGCGATGAACTTTAGACCACGCGGTAGGTACGCCCTTCGCTAATGTTAGCCTGCCGCCCGCGTGACTCTGCGATGTCCACTGACCGCCGTCCGCGGCCCGGCAGTCTGCGAACGGGGTGAGACGGTGCACGCGTGCCCGCGCTCCCTCTGCGAGAACAAGGTGTGCCTGTCCGACCCGAGCGCCACCTGCCGGATCGACCCCTGCGGCCGCTGCGGCTACCGCTTCTACGACGCTGGCGGCAATGAGGTCGACTGTTCCCGCGGCCTGACGGCCTGCCAGCGGGAGCGTCAGGAGGTGAGGCGGCACGACCCGGGCCGCTCCGCAAGCTGTGGACGCGGTTTGAGGCGAGCCCCTATAGCTCCGGGATGGGCGGGGATTTACAAGCAGCGATGGCCTACACATTCTGGGTGCGTCCTTCGTGGTTAAAAGAAATTTGGTTAATCAAGGTTGCGTTGCTTTTAGCAGTCTTTCTTTGTTTTGCGTGTCAGCTAGAGGAAAGGGTGATATGGAAAGCGTAGTAAGTGTTACAAACTTTCTATGACCTCGTCCGATTTTTGGCGTGTACCCCCACGTGACGGCTCGTGTCTGCGGTGCCAGGTGTTGAACTCGGCCGCCTGGAGACAGCACGGCCAGTACGAGGCCCGGGATAGGTCGTCCGTGCGGCTCTACGCAGCGCTGCGGGGCATCCTGTCGCAGAGGTGAGTGTCCGGAGCATAGCGCCGTCCCGAACACGTCACACTTGCGAGGGCTGCGCCTCGTGACAATATTGGGAGATGCTCTGCATTTCTCAGCTTGCATGGTGCTATGAAACTTCCAACGTCCGGTTCGGTTTGATTTTCGCATTTGAAACCGTTTCGTGGCAACACTTTCAAACGCGTTTGAAAGTGGCCAGCTTGGCTTAAAACGAGCGTAACTGCCCGCCAGGTTGTGTCGTTGTTCAAATTTAACACCTAAGTGTTACTGCGCCGGTCCCAATCATAGCTGCAGACCAAAAAGCGCAAACCTCAGCTGAACATGTTTGATAACCCCCGTCGCCACCGCGCAATGCTCCACCGGTCGATGTATTCGTGGGGTCGCCGTGTAACCTTGCACCGTCCTGTGGCAGCGGCGCCGAGCCGGGCCGCGGCTCGTCACTGCACGGAGACCTGCTAGCCGACGGTCTGGTGGTGGGGCCGCCCGTCTGTGACGAGCTGGGGGGCTACCGGGCCGAGCAGGGCTCCGGCGGCCTCATGTGGTGCGTGGCCGAGGACGGCGCGCCCCTACACCGCACCATCACCCGGGGCCTGATCCGCTGCGACCGACAGGGTAAGCACGCTCACGCTGCGGGGGCAGCTTCCCGGGGCTCAAGTGGTTACCGCCATGCTCGTTTCTAAACGTGTAGCAGCAATCCCGTCGCTTCCACCGCATAAGCTAGGTGCAAATGCTTTGGATCGATGTCGCTGAGATGCGTGACGGATGGGAAAGTGTATTTCTCAACCAGATAATCCTTTCTCTTTTTTCTGCCTTTCCGATTGCTGGACAGCATCGGTAACTCGCCTGGCGCGTCCCCAGGCAACGTCGTGGAGCGCCAGGCGCTGTCCCCGGTCTGTGACTCAGAGGTGGCGCCGCGGGTGTGTCGCCACGAGTGTCTGCGCGCCGCCTGCCCGGGACACACGGACGCCGTTTGTGTGGCCGACCCCTGCAACAACTGTCACGTGACCTTCTTCAGGTGAGGCGTCCGCATTGGCGAAGAGCTGGGAGTGGACGAGTGAGGGAAAAGGTTGTCTGAGATGAGTGAGCCGCTAACCTTCCTGTCTTTCCAGCATGATCTCTCTCCATCCCCCTGGCGTGACCTACCTCCACTCCCAGCGTGACCTCCTTCCATTTCCTCAGCGGGACCTCCCTCCCGTCTCCCCAGCGTGGCTTCCCTCCGCCTCCCCAGCGGGACCTCCCTCCACTTCCTCAGCGGGACCTCCCTCCCGTCTCCCCAGCGTGGCTTCCCCCGCCTTCCCAGCGGGACCTCCCCCGTCTCCCCGTCGTGACCTCCCTCTCGTCTCCCCAGCGTGGCTTCCCCGCCTTGCCAGCGTGACGTCCCTTCGCTTCTCCAGCGTGACCTCCCTCCGCTTCCCCAGTGTGACCTCCCTCTGCCTCCCCAGCGTGATCTCCAGTCTCCCCAGCGTGACCTCCTTCCGCCTGCCCAGCGTGACCTCCCTCCGTCTCCCCAGCGTGATCTCCAGTCTCCCCAGCGTGACCTCTCCGCCTGCCCAGCGTGACCTCCCTCCGCCTCCCCAGCGTGACCGGCCGCGAGGTGCAGTGTGACCGGCCCTGCAGCCAGCCGGTCGTCTCCGGACAGTGCCGCGCCAGCATCCCCCGCTTCTTCTACGACCAGCAGCTGGGACAGTGCCAGCCGTTCCTCTACGGAGGCTGCGGCGGCAACGACAACAACTTCGGCAGTCTTGATGACTGTCAGGCGCAGTGCGAGCAGCCTGGTAAGCTTACGTGGAGCTGAGTGTCGTCCTCGGGTCTTTCCTGAGAGGTGAAGTGATCGATTCCCAGACGGTAACGGCAAACTCAGACCGAGGGGCTATGCATCGGTTAGTGTGTGTGCTTTTTGGCTGTTTCTAAGTGAATTGGCTCCCGAATTACTTCACTTAAAGTGCCTATCACCATCACCAGTCGAATTCAAACCAGCTGTGTCTCATGTGTAGGTCGCCTGTAGGTTCCTTTCCTGACCTCTGTCACTGTCTCTGCGCTCATGTGAGCTGTGGGTGCCGTTCCAGTGGACATCTGCTCGCTGCCGGTGTCGAGCGGCCCCTGCTCCGATGCCCACGTGCGCTGGTTCTACAACTCCGTGACCGAGGACTGCGAGCCGTTCACGTACGGAGGCTGCGCCGGCAACGGCAACAACTTCCGCTCCCGACAGGCGTGCCAGGCCCGCTGTCCAGGTAATGAGCGGCCAGTCACCGATCCCACCTTCCGCTCCCGACAGGCGTGCCAGGTCCGCTGTCCAGGTAATGAGCGGCCAAACACCGCCCCCGCCTTCCGCTCCCGACAGGCGTGCCAGGCCCGCTGTCCAGGTAATGAGCGGTCAAACACCGCCCCCGCCTTCCGCTCCCGACAGGCGTGTCAGGCCCGCTGTCCAAACAATGAGCGGCCAAACACCGCACCCGCCTTCCGCTCCCGACAGGCGTGTCAGACCCGCTGTCCAAACAATGAGCGGCCAGTCACCGATCCCACCTTCCGCTCCCGACAGGCGTGCCAGGCCCGCTGTCCAGGCAATGAGCGACCAGTCACTGATCCCACCTTCCGCTCCCGACAGGCGTGCCAGGCCCGCTGTCCAGATAATGAGCGGCCAGTCGCCGATCCCACGGGCGCTGGCTGCTGCTATGTAATGCCACGCTCATCTTCTGTTCATCGTATCTCTTTGTGTGATGACATCTGCGGGCTCTGGCTGTCGACGGTGCTTTAATAACCAGCATTGTGGTGGGATTTTCTAGCTTGTGCTCAGAAAAAAATCACATTGTCGTTGCATGTTATTCTCCATTCCTTGAGTGGAAATAAATATGAGGAAATGAGGAATTTAAAGACTGACAAACATATGGTTGACGACCGGTTTAGGCACTTGGACGGCTGCAAGCCCAGCTGTGTTACGGGCATAAATGCATGATGAACGGAAAATAGCTGAGGGTGAGATGAGACCAGAGAAATGGCTTGACGTCATGCCTCACTCCCTGCCCGCCCTGCCGGCAGACCTCGTGCTGTGTCCGTCGGTGCCCGGCTCGCTGACGGCCTGCAGCCGGGGCCAGAGCTGCGGCAACGCCACGTGCGCAGCGCGGCCGTCGGCCGTCTGTCGCGTCGAGCCCTGCTCCTGCCAGCCGTACTTCACCGACGTCAACGGCGAACGCATCGACTGCCAGGTGCCACTATAATGCGGCGCTAGACACGACTGCCACTGTCGTTGCAGGTTGTCAGGCATCAAAGAGACGTCTTTTGGAGCCCACTTCGTGAAGTATATTTACATTACAGTTACGGATGTTTTTTATTCGATTCCTTTAATAATTTTATTCGCTTTAAGTTGTTCCGTGATCGCGGTCGGCGAGCGCCAGACATGGCATGCGCAGTTTCGCTATGACAGTGAATTGTTTCTGAATCATGGTGATGCAGCAACACTTAAACTTGCTACGCGACGCTACTTGAAGTATTGTTCACCGATATCAGAACTGATTGGCCGATCCCAAAATGACGCGGAGCTGACTGGCCCTTGCAGGCTGAGCCGGAGGATACCGCGCAAGGACACGCCAAGGTCGTGATCGTGAATGCCGTTCCCAAGACGGTGACGTTGAAGAAGGTCATCAAGCACATCCCCACTGAGCCATCATCAACGACGACGACGATGACGGAGATGGCCGAGGAGGACCCGACCACAGTACCGGTGCCGGCGGCCGCGCCCGAGACGGCTGGCCCTCAGCACACACCCGTCTCCGCCGGCCCACAGTACATCCCGCTACCAGCCGGCCCAACCGAGCAGGAGGCGGCTATCAGTCGGAACGAGCTGACCGACGACGACGGCGGCGACGCTACATCAGCGCTCGAGGGCATGCGCGAGGTCACCTTCACCCTGAGCTCACCGGCCGGCGAGGTGAGCAGCCCGTGGGGTGCCGACTTCGACGCCACGCCGGCGTCAGAGGTGTCGTCCGACGTCGCAGAAGACGGCCTGACCGCCACGGTGGCGGTCGGGTTCGACCTGGCGTCAGATGAGCTGTCGATGACGTCAGACGCGACGGCACGCCAGCCGGCGTCGACGGACTCGGCGGACGCGGCGACCCTCTCTTCCAACGCGTTGCACGACGCCGCCGGTGCGGCCACCGCCTTCGCCGCCGCCGGCTGCGAGCGCGGCGGCGGCGGAGGACGTCGGCCGAGCCGCGTCGCCGCCAGGCGCGCCTGCTGGCCGGCCGGGCCGACCGCCAGCTGTGGGCCGAGCTGCGCACCGGCGGCGCCGACCGGCTCGCCGCCGCCGAGGACCACTACGTGGCGCTGCAGCGCGAGGTGGTCTCGCGCCAGCAGGGTTTCCCGCTGACGGCCGCCGTTATCGTCATCGCCGCGCTCACGGTCACGGTCGTCGCCGCCACCGTCATCGGCGCCATCGTGTACCGGCGGAAGAGCACAGGTGAGCGATTGGAGCCGCGGGCGCCTTGGCTGTGCGCTTCAGAGCTGCGATGAACTCAGCGAGGCGGTTGAGGGCCGGTGACACTCGATGGTAGTGCCAGATACTTGTTTGGACTGAGTTCGGATTCAGAGTTATTTGGACTGAGTTAACATCGCGCTTGCGACCAGGTCTTCTTGGCATTATCTGAGACACGAGACAACGCCGGCTTCGTTGGGTTTGGACACCCACGTGACTGACGATGATCGCTTACCTGGCTCTGCAGGCAACTCAACGGACGAAGCCGCGTCATCCTCGGTCGACAGCGGCGCCATCTGCAACGGTCGCAGTCTGCACGAGCAGCTGGGCCGGCAGCAGCCCAGCCAGCAGCCCGCCTTCAGGTGGAACTTCTGATCGACGCCGGCAGGTGGCAGGCCAACAGTAGTTCTCAACGTCACCAGCAGATGGCATGTTTACCGAGCCGTCCGTTTCGCGCGCCGCGGGGCCCGCGCGCGCTCTCCGAGTGATCCACGACAAGCGTGAGAAGAAGCCAAAACATTCGGGCGTGACCCGGCAAACGGTGCGGGCGGCCCGGGCCTCTGATATCCGTGAGTGTGTGTCCAGACGTAAACGTTATTTATTACCTACTGCTGTCGAGGTGCATGCTAATGTGGTGGCCACCGCCGGGCTCGTGTTATTGCTAGCGCTGTTGAAGAGTCGGCGGCCAATGTGACAGATTTCAAATGGACTACGAGGTCTCGAGACTTATTACGACATGCAGTGTGCAAATGTGTAAATAGCAGTGTATGGCAGCGTTAAACAATGTATGTGAAAACTGAATGCCGATATTCGAGCTGACGTTCGAATAAAGTAACAAATGATGCCCACTTGCGTTTCATAATGCTCCAGGGCATGCAAGGCTTGCAGTACACAAAAATGTGCTGCAGTCTGAACGGCTGCCAAAACATTTCAACCTGAAACTGAAGTCACCACGTCATGCCCGAGACGCTGGAAACGACGCTCAGGACATATTGTGATACGGCAAAGATGCACTTGTCTCAGGTTGCAACCATGACAGCAATTCGAGATAGCACAAAATGCATTGCACTCGGTCCCCAGCACGAGATGTCCTCGCGGTCAGCGTCCTCGGCCCCCGCACGGGGGCCCGGGCGCGGTTGCGGTAAATCCGTGCTGCGGCATAACATCTGAGCGCGTGTGCGGTCGCTGCGGTCCTCCACGCTCCATAAAAGGACGCGGCGGGACGGGCGCCGCACCCCGTTAACAACCTCTCGGCACGGTCTCCATGAGCTGCGCAGGCCATTGAGAGTCGGCGTCACGTGACTGCCTGTATTGCTGCACATCAGCGCCCTCTGTCGTGGCCAGCATCACGCCGACGGCCAGGACTACACCACGTCGCGTCCAGCGCTCGGCGAACTCAATATCGAAGGTATGCACCTGCTAAAAGAAACATTACAGCCGTCGCTAACCGTACATCTTGTGCGCGTGCGTTCACTTGTGCGTTTACGCAGTTGGTGTGACATAACGGTGCTGGGCCGTAACATACCATACTGCACGATGGATATTGCAAAACAGATGCGAAGTACAATGCCTAATTCGTTGCGACTGATTCGTTGATGCCTGAAATCTTCACCACTAGGCTCATTCCGTTGAACGATAAATAGTTTAACCGACATGATTTTGGCTCCATAAATATGCCCTTAAATCAAGATGTCGCAGCAATGTTGATCTAGCCATGACAAACGGGCAGCACATGATGGAAAGGTAGAAACAGCACTCACAGAACCAAAAGCTGGCACCAAAAATAAACGGCAAGATGATCGACGATCGATGAACGACGTGTTTGTGCCTAATCGGGTCATGTGGCCCTAAGCAGCCGACAAGAAACGTCGAACAAGCAGGGGTTTCATCATAACACGCTGAATATTGCAAAATGATAACAGGAGCAACACAAACATGACTATTTCACAACGAAGCGTGACGGGTCCCACCATAAAGCGAAGCGATAAAGGTCCTAAGCTTGCGTAAGAGCACTCAAGCCTAGCATCCAGTAATCTGCAACAAAATCCCTCAGCGCATCCATTCCGATAAAGCTTTCAAGCCAGCAACAACTAATTTCACCTGTTAACCTTCAATTAAGTACTCACATCTCATCCAATCACCCTTCTAACCAAAAATGTGTCACCTGGACGGATTAGTGAAAATAAAATGCTACCGGACCGCAGTAAGTACTATGTTAATGGTTTCGCTGACTAGCATTGTACGCAGACGCACAGGTACCAAAATAATTTGCGTCCCCGGCGCCGCCGCCGGGCCCGGGGCCGGCGGCGGCGACGCCGCGGGACCGCTCGACTGGTCGGACGGTCGAGTCGACTCTATCACCAGACTCGGATCGGAAGGGTGGCGCGCCGGCCGAACGGCCGCGTCACGGGCTGGCAGTAAGACGAGAGCGGGGCGGCAGCTGAAGCAGGGCGGCGCGCGCGCAGTCCGGAGCGGGCGCCGTCGCGCTCGGCGCCGCCGGGCCGGCGGTGCGAAGCCGGCAGCTGCATGAGCGCGGCGAGGCGACTCGGGGCCCAAGAGCCCAAGACGGAAGCCGCGGAGCCGGGAGCCGGGAGCCTCGGAGCCGGGGGCGGCCAGGCGCCCGCGGCTCCCGCTCCGACGGCGCCTCCGCTACCGGTAGATCTTGTTAAGCGTCTTCACCTTGTCGCGGCCGCCGGTCGTCGCGAAGTCGCGCAGCGAGCTCTTGAGCAGGTTGCCGACGGAGAGCGGGCTGGGGCGACTGGCGGCGCGCGCCGCGTCCGTGTCGGGCGCGCCGTCTTCTTCGCGCGGCGCCGAGCCGGAGCCGTCGGCAGCGCCGCTGGAGGGCGCCGTGCGCACGCGAGGCGCCGGCTCGCGCGCGCGCGCCCGTCCCAAGAACAGGTCGGCGGAGTGGAACAGCGACGTGTGCAGCGTCAGCACCTCCTCCAGGTCCGACTCGCTGCAATGACCGGCCACCGGTGAGTGACATCATCGGGTCCGACAGCCAAGATGGAAGGGCGTTGGGAACACCGGATGTTAGGATGTCTATGAATCGCAGCTGGCTTCAAGGACGACTGGGCAACACAGACAACTGCGACACAAATATTGAGAACGCCATGCTAAAGGTGCTATGTTTTGAATAACCCGTACGTCACGGCTGCAAAATAAGCAATCAAATATACTTCGAGCAAGGGAGCCTGAAGCCAAAAGCACGTCGCGAGTACGTTGTGCAGATGTCCAGTTCAGATGACCCAATGTTGGTGAATGTACATAAATCAAACGGTCACAGCAAGCGAGTCGGGCAATCACACAGGAATTCATCGCTCAAGACAACCCCACGCCCTACATGACGACGCTGACACCAGACACGACCCCACTGACACCAGACAGGACACCACTGACACCAGACACAACACCTCTGACACTAGAGACGACACCACTGACACTAGACACGATGCCACTAACACCAGACACGACGCCACTGACACCACATATGACGCCACTGACACTAGACACGACGCCACTGACACCAGACACGATGCTCCTGACACCAGATACGACGCCTGACACCAGTACAGACAGCTGTTGCCGCGCTCCTGCCGCACCTGGCGACCGGTGACGAACTGTTTGTGCAGCTGCGGCTCCAGTATGTTGAGGCCTTCGCGCGGCGCCACGTGCTCCAGCGTCTCCCGGTTGTACAGGTGGATGAAGTCACCCAGCTGCTTGGCGATCAGGATGGCCTTCTCCACCGGCGTGAAGTGACGCCCCGGCGCCTGAAAGAACGGAAGCCATGACGCCTCCACGTGACCGCGAGTGACACCACCCACTTCGATGACGTGTCAATTTGAGTCACGCCACCCCCTTCGATGACGTGCGACCGCAAGCGGACCGCCCGCCTCACCTGAGATCACGTGTAACCAGAGTGGACGCCGCTCACCTTATGACGTGTCAACCCAGAGTGACGGCCGCTTTGTTTAGGGTGACGATAATACCAGAGTGTACGCCCGCTCACCTGAGTGACGAGTAAACCCCGAGTGACGCGCCTCACCTGGATGACGTGGTACCCCGAGTGACGCCGCTCACCTGGATGACGTGTACCTCGAGTGACGGGGGACGCCCTCACCTGCCGCTCACCTGGATGACGTGTACCCCGAGTGACGCCGCTCACCTGATGACGTAGGCGTCGGTGAGGTTGCGCGCCGCCTTCCTGATGAAGCGCAGCACCATATCCAGCTGGACCGGAGCTCTGCACCTGCTCCATGTTACACATGAGCCGGCGCTGGATGTGCTGTAGGTAGAAGGCTGAACGCCAGCCGGCGCCTGGGTACCGGCTGCCGACGCGGAGACAGGCAGCGGTCACCGGTCAGCCGGCAGTCGGTGACGTTTCACTGCGGATGGTTACCGGGCTTTTCACGGCGCGTCGACTTTCTTCGGTTACACCAGCGCCTGATGCAGCTGCCCCACGGAGTACCGGACAAGGATAATGACGTTCCGCAAAAGCGCGGGTCCTTCAAAAAAATTAAAGCATATATGCAAATGGCTTCCCATATTCCATGTGCGAAGTCAGTCTATATTCAGGATAGTCCATATTCCAGAACAGTCCATACCCGAATGACTTCCCTTGGCGTCTCAACATTCGCCAAGGCACCAAGGCGGCCCAGGCCGGCGGCGTCGGGCCGCTGCCTCGCCGGCCGCCGTACCTCATGCGCACGCCGCGGTGCATCTCCTCGATGATGGTGCGCTTGACAGTGAGCCGCTCGGACGCCTGCTCCTCGGGGTCGCGCGTCTCGCCGCAGCCCACGAACGCGTCCTTGGAGCCGCGCGCCAGCGGCCGCTCGTAGCAGGCCGTGCGCTCGTTGCGCGACTTACTGGTGATGCTCAGCGACGGGATGCTGCTGCTCTTGCGGCTCAGCGAGCGTGGCCCTGCGCGGGAGGTGCTGTCAGCGACGCGGCGGTGAGGTCCGGCGCCAGGGACGCGTCAGGGACACAGTGAGCATCCGCGCGGGAGGCGGTGTCAGGGACGTGGCGATGGGATCCGGCGCCAGGGACACGTCAGGGACACAGCGAGGGTTTGCGCGGGAGGCGATGTCAGGGACGCAGCGACGGGATCCGGCGCCAGGGACACGTCAGACACAGCACGGCCCTGAGCGGGAGGCGGTGTCAGGGACGCGGCGATGGGATCCGGCGCCAGGGACACGTCACGGACACGGCGAGGATTGCGCGGGAGGCGGTGTCAGGGACGCAGCGACGGGATCCGGCGCCAGGGACACGTCAGAGACACAGCACGGCCCTGAGCGGGAGGCGGTGTCAGGGATGCGGCGACGAGACCCGGCGCCAGGGACACGTCAGGGACACAGCGAGGATCCGCGCGGGAGGCGGTGTCAGGGACGCGGCAACGGGATCCGGCGTTAGGGACACAGTCTGAACGGACCTAGGTGTGAGACGAGCGGGCCTAACGTTGCGCGTTGGACTACAAACCCATCACACGCCACTTCTGCACGAGCATCGCTCGGAACTGGTTTACCACCGAGCACAGCACAACTCCGCACGAGTGTAACACGTGCCATTAGTTAACCCACGTGATCCAGAGCCCCATCCCTTCCGTTGTGCTCTTCCCTTCCGCCCCGTTGCCATACCGTGTGGCGCGGCGCTCGTGTTGGGGTACAGCTCCTCGTGCAGCATCTGGTTGAGGTGCGAGTTGATGGGCGCCAAGAAGCAGCTGTACAGTGACCAGGTATCGGGTGCCGGGAATATGCGGATGAAGGCGCCGCGGCGCGCCTGCTCCTCGCGCACCTCGCGCACCACCCGCGCCTCCTCGGCCGAGAGAGCCGAGCGCATCTGGCGGCCGCCGCGCGGCACCGAGTCCATCGACGGCGCGCGCATCTGGGAGAGGAGGCCCGGCGTCAGGCGCGGAGAGAGCGGCCGTGTGCCGCGGACGGCAGCGTCCGGCAGCCGGAGCCCGCGCCACAGCCCGGTGAGGGGGCTGGTGGAGCGTTGATTTCGACACTCTCGCGACGCCCGCGTGTTTCGTCACCACTGATTGGAGTTCGCCAATCATGGGGACTATGCTTGCCACACCTACGCAGTCACATTTAACTTAGCTTTATACTGCCTTATTTTCTCCAAGATGTAAACAATGGCTATCCCTCGCGTCTTCCTCTTTAGCATGCTCAGCTCATGACACCGGCTGCAACCCTCAAAGGCACCGCTCGACCCTATGGTGGTGATCTGCCCCTGCCCTGGCAGCCGTGTCACTGACCCGGACGGTGGCGCGCTGGCGCTGCTTGACCTGGCGGGCGCGGCTCGGGTCGACGGCCGGCACGCCGATCAGCGTGAACAGGTCGGCGACGACGGCCGACTTGACCTTGCTGTCGAGCGGCGTGTCGCAGCCCAGCGACGGCGACAGGTTCACCTCCAGCAGCCACGGCCGCAGCGACGAGTCGATCAGGATGTCGAAGCCGTACAGCTCTGCGGCGCACGGCGCGTCATCAGCCGCGCCCGCCAGCGGCGCCTCTGGGCCTGGTACCCACACACTAGGGACACGTACCTTATGTCGTGTTAGTAAACATGGATGAGTCACGCACCATAAGGACATTGTATGACAGTGGGGAAACAAATCAGAGTGCAGGGCTGTCGGTGACTCCAGGAGTCGGCCCTACTGCCAGTGGTGTGTTTTCTTTACTGATAAACACAACACTGCGCATTCTGATCGTGCGCTCCAGATCAACCTTTGATCATTGATACGAACGAGTTTCTGTTTGTCAAGTACAGGCGCAGTACATCACGTTGGTTTGCGCAATGCTATTTTTTGGCATTGATTGATTTAGGGCACCAGCTTGCACGCATTGGTACTGATTCGTACAAACAAGATGGAAGCGTGCAAAGCTCACGACGCCCGGCACAGAGGCTTCCCAAGAGCTGTGTCCATAACTGATGCCCTTTCTGTAATTTCGGAATGGAGTTCGCATGCAGCATTTCTCCTGCCACGCTTCCCTGTCCAGCTACAAATAGCAGCCAATCACGCATCACCTACTCGCACCGAACAACAGATAGCCAAGATAGGGCATGCAACAACAGGGCATGCATAATGCAACTATTGGCCATTCACGCCTGCTCCACAGTTACAGAAAGCCCTTCCCCGAACGGCGCCAGCACATCGGACCACCCGCGACAGCCAGCCGTCAGTCGCCAGCCAGCGGCGCGCCTCACCGAAGCAGTTCCTCCTGGCCGGCACGAACATCTTGCAGGCGGTAGTGACCGTCGGCGCCACGGCAATCACAGACTTGACGACAATGGCCTCAATGTCCTGCCGGCAGCCGGCCGAGGCGTTACCTCCGGCAGCGGCGGAACGCCCGTCGACGATGGCACGCGCGCCGGCGCGCTGCCCGGGGTCATCGGCCCAGGCATTCATACCTGGACCGCGTGATGAACCGCTTCCCTTTTTAGCATTCGCGCACAGAATAACAATAACCTGGTTCGTTCCTTGCATTTTGATGGGGGCCGGGAATGGGACAACTGGGGCATAATTCACCACCTTTCAAAAGCCGACAGCGCAGCTAACGTTGACATTCATAAATCGCGATCCATTGTGACAACGAGGGCCGCCGACCATAAAGAGCTTCCGCCAGCAATGCCGCAGCGGACAGCCCGCGTGCCATCCCCAGACCCCACGGAGGCAGCACACGACACGACGACACACTAGCACCACCACGTGGGGGCGACGCCTTGCGACGTCGTACGAGGGGGAGCCTTATGCCAGCATCCGCCGGGCATGCCGACTGCCGCCACCGTGCGCGGCAAAAAAAAACACCCCTGTGGACCGGCCGCTATCCAGTGTGAGGGCGGCTTCCGTGTCAGCGCGGGGGCGTTTGCCGCGCCCGTGTGTGGGCAGCGACCAGCGTCGCCGTGCCGGGGCCGTGGGTGCTGCTCGGCGCCAGTACGGCGGCCCCTCACCTGCATCAGGCGCGTGGTGTCCTCGCCGGCCAGCTTCAGGTGGCGCAGCAGTGCCGACAGTGACCATTTGTTGCCGTAGTCGTCTACCTCGGCGTCATCGTTCCTGCGGCAGGAGCACAGTCCGGCTAACGGCCCAAGGCGGCACCGCCCACACAGCACTCACTGTCTCAACACCACACGGTGCTGTGTGGACGTCACACGGCGCTGTGCGAACGTCACACGGCGCTGTGTACAACGACACGCGGTGCTGTGTGAACTTCACGCGGCGTTGTGTGAACATCACATGGTGCCGTGTGAACGTCACACGGCGCTGTGTGCAACGTCACACGGCGCTGTGTGCAACGACACACGGCGCTGTGTGCAACGACACACGGCGCTGTGTGAACTTCACACGGCGTTGTGCGAACATCACACGGTGCTGTACGCACACCGCATAGCACTGTGTGAACATCACACGGCGCTGTACGCGCACCACACGGTACTGTGTGAACGTCCGACGGCGCTGTGTGAACGCCACACGGCCCCGGGTGAACGTCACACGGCAGGCCAGATTCGAGCCGGCCAGGAGTCATGGACGCCGTTTTATGGTCTGGTGCCCTACGATGTCGAGTCCCGTGAACCATTAAACGGGTTTGTCGTGCACGGAGAGATTTATGTTAGATACGGCCTGCAGAATAAAGGGATTCTGTGGATTTCCAGCTAAAAAGAACGGAAGCAACCGGCAGACTGAAGACCTTCCCAGGCACCGAGCCTAACGCGTTTTTCGGCTAGATACTACGCCATGCTTTGACGGACCACACCACGCTGCCATGGGAGATAATTTGAAGAATCAGTGTTAGACAACTGGTGTATGCAAAAGCTTCACATCCGCGATATACGACCCTAGAATGCAGCAACATGCATTTACGACATACAACGCGTCAACCCCACTTCCGTTTCCATATCTAACGGAAACGGGTTAAATACGTGAACAGTGCACGTCACTCCTGCAACGTCACAGCCTCACACAATGCGGCCGACCGGTCCAACAGTGCACGTCAGTCCCACAGCGTCACAGCCTCACACGATACGGCCGACAGAGCTAACAGTGCACGTCAGTCCCACAGCGTCACAGCCTGTCACGGTACGGCCGACAGAGCCAACAGTGCACGTCAGTCCCACAGCGTCACAGCCTGTCACGATACGGCCGACCGGGCCAACAGTGCACGTCACTTCCACAGCGTCACAGCCCCACACGACACGGCCGACCGGGCCAACAGCGCACGTCACTTCCACAGCGCCACAGCCTCACACGATACGGCCGGCCGAGCCACGTCGACGACGATGACGATAGCAGGCCCCGACCATTCGCAGACACCTCCGTCAGCCCGTCTTACCACAACCACTTATACAAACTACAAGCCACACACCCCTCACGACCTGTTTACCCGGAAACGGGTTGAGAAACCGCACTCCCGCCGCGTACTCACTGCACGTAATTGGTGTGGTACTTGTTGACGCTGTAGTTGGTGAGGTGCATGCAGGGGTTCCAGAGCATCTTGGCGCTCTGGTCGTACTTGACGGCCGCGAAGCGGATCAGGCCCTCCTCGTACAGGTAGATGACCAGCGGGTCGTAGGAGGTCACAGCCACGTACAGCCGCACGTCGCACTTGTAGCCGTCCACCAGCAGCGGGTTTTCGATGTACTTGCACACGACCACGCTCTCGTCCAGCGGAATCTGGTCCGGCTGTGTGACGTCAGACGCGCGACGTCAGACGAGTGACGTCTGGCGGAGTGACGTCACGCGGCACGACGTCGGATCACAGGCACGGTGGGGAACTCGGCCTTGGAGCAGGCAAGACGAAAAGGATGTGCTGTGAATACCTCTCTGACAGATGATGCATAGGGGGGGTTCGGGTGGGACTAGGGGGGGGGGGGAGGGTCCGCCCGAATGGACGTAAGCAAGTAAACGCACACGTGAAAACAGACGCATTCGTATCAGAACACGCACCCAGGAATCATGGTCGAAAACGCATGGCTATCGCGTTCGCCACGACATTCGACACACACACGACTTTCAAATTAATAACGTTTACCACTAAATGTCTTGAAACAATCTACGTCTTGAAACCAGCTGCACCAGTGTAGCACCACTGCATGCGATGAATCAACCGGACACATCAAAGTCCAAAGCCAGGCACAACAAAGCCGGCCGTATGCCCTGACGTTCAGCGCCGGCCGATAGCTGCCAGGGCGTACGGCCCGCCCTCGTCGGCGATGAGCTCACCGCACCCAGCCGCTCCTGACTCAGAAGCATGCAGACGGGCACGGACCGCGGTGCCTGTTGCAGCGCTATCACAGCCGCACAAGCTGGTTCGCTCCACACGGCGACGGCGATCAGACGTGATTTTACTGATTCTGTCTCTGCCTCCCCTCCCCGCATGCCTCGTCACTGACGGGATGAACCTACATGTCGCCAGGACCGACTTCAACCCGCTCTCCATACTTACGAGTCCATGGCATTCCGTTGCATTATTGAGGCCTTGTCCGCCCCCCCCCCCCCCCCACATCAATGCAATAATCCTCACAACGCCTTCCCAGTCACGCCAGCATGGACCATGCAGCACCGCTGCCCACAACGACGTGGGCGTCCCCCCCCCCCCCCCCCAGGCAGCAGAGCCGTGGGCGGCGCCCCCCCCCCCCTTCCCTGCTGCACTGACGTGGTTAATGAGGTAGATGCCCCGACCGCGGGACGAGGCGACCGGCTTGACGATCCACGCGCCGCGGTCCTTCAGAAACGCTGAGCAGAACTCCTGTCGGCAGCGAGGTCACGAGGTCAGGTCAGGTCACGCCAGGTCACAGAGGCGCGGTCGCGACAGTCCGCAGTCGCCCGGGCCGCGTGGGCCGCACACCGTTGTCGCTAAGCGGCTTCGGACGGAGCGCTATTTGGAGTTGGGCTAACGCGGCGTGCTTGGCGGCGTGAGTCATAATGTCACGTGACGAACGGGCTGGGGGAAGCTCGTGTCCCAAGGTGCTCGAATACAACGAGGGAGCAGGCGCCCTGGCCCAGGAACCACCAGTCCGCCAGAGTTCGTTGCATAGATAAAGCTTTACTATACAATAATGTTATGTGGTTATAAAATTGGCGAAACTCGTATCATATCAATACGCCGCCATGCGGCCTCGTATCAATAACTCGTATCAATACGCCTTACATGAATCAAATCGACTGGGCGTTTGCCAGACATCCATATCTTTCAAACATTACCTGATATTCGTTTGGCATGATATAGCTGGGCGGTATGAAGTCAAAGTGCTTGGCGCCGCGTATATACTTCATCCTCTCGATGTTTTTACACAGCCGGTCCTTCCTCGTCAGCTCGTAAGACCTGACAGCAGAAAACAAGCCGGCTACAGCAACCGATCCAGTAGCTGCACATAACCCTTCCCGCCGCCGCTGGCGCCCCGCCCCGCTGCACACATGGCCGCGTGCAGCGGGACTGCACGGTACAGCGGGCGGCCGAATCTTGCACGGCGACGTGGAGCCTGCACGAGACAACTGGCGCGATTTCTGGATCGGGAGAAAGGCTCCACACCCCAGACAGCCTCGCCTTCCGTGGGAGAACACGGTAGCTGCGTGATCGGGTGGACCACGGGATCCAATTACACCGACACGACGAGGTTCGCCGGCTGTCAACCAACGACCAGGCCGATTGGGCGCTGCTGTTTGTCAATCCTATGCCGCACGGCGGTTACTTTTTTATCTCGCCCCACGCCCGCACGCAAGCGGAAATAAACACGTGGAACTCGGCCAGCTGAAACCGACGCTAGACCAAACAAACCACTATCTTTAGAACCGCCCACCAAAAGCGCCGCAAGTCACCCTGTCAGCCCAATGCCCCAAGTGACATGGACAGCGGGGCGCCGCGGCATCGTCTGCGATTATCCCTGCCCCGACCCCCGCTCCTCCTCCGCTCGGCGAGCGGTCCTAGATAAGCCGCCGCTCTCGGGGATTACACCGCTGGCCAGCGAGGTCAATACCTCCGGCCAATAGTCAATACCGTCCGAGGCCGGCGGCGCCGGGGGAGCGGACACCGGCGGCGCCCACCTGGGGAAGTGGTTCACGCGCTGGTAGTCGTACAGGTTGCGCAGCACGAACGGCTTGGGGTGCACGCCCGTCCAGAGGATGTTGAAGTCGCAGACGGACGGCGACGCCTCACGGACGCCGTGGACGTCCATGAGCCGGCGGAACAGCCTGCCGGCGCGGCAGCACCAGCGCTGTGTCACCCACTCAAACGGCCGGCAGAGACCCGCGCATTGCCGCCGTCATGGATAAATAAAATAAAATGCACTATATATATATATATATATATATATATATATATATATATAGTGTTATTTATACATGTCAGACAATGTGTACAACAACAAAAATACAATATACAACAAAATATGTAAATATGAATTAAATGCAGTACATCGGGTCAGACGGGAGACATGTGCCGCACGGTTGCCGAAACGCAAATTTCAGACACCAAAGACCGACGTGAACGGTAAAGCAGCGCCCGAGGCACGGGCGCTGCTTTACCGTCAGCGTCAGAAGCACGTCCGTTAGATGACGCTGCTGCGGCCAGCGAACGGACTTGCGTGTTCCTCAGAGTGAATCGTCAGGAAGGGAGTCGACGGGGAAATTGAAACAAACAATATAACTTTGTTCTGACAGTGGGGAAGCTGCCAATCTCGACGAATCCATCAGCCGATCCCCACTATTGATCAAACGGTGAAAAACAGCCCCCACCGGAAGGTAAACGGCCCCCCGGACTGAGTTTGCAAACAAAGGGGAGATAGAATCACCAGCGGAACGACGGCCACTCTTCGACCCGCCACGCAGAATACCGAACAGCGCCGCGGGCACGCGGTCAGCCCCACTCACTTGCTGTCGGTGTTCTGCATCTTGAACAGCATGTGGTACTGCCTGCCGACGGGGCCGATGGGCTCGTCGTCCAGGTTGCCGCAGCTGAAGCGGAGCAAGGGCTGCTTCCGGCCGGCGCCGCCCACCCAGATCAGCCAGTCGTCCTCCAACATCGACCTGAAGAGATTGGCGGGAGAGCGTCACCCCGCGCTCAAGACGGGACGAGCACGACACGCCTGCTGTGGACCTGCCGCCAGGGTGATGATCACCACCGTGCGCTGTTCTCCCATCAATGGACAAACCCATAATTCCGCTTAATCAGCTCGAGTGCGGTCCAGACTTCCTCCCACGCACGCATGCAGAAATCGTGAGGGATGTTCACTTCAGGCAGCTGATGATGGTGGTTAGTCGTACAGTGACCGGTGGCGTAAATCACCCCTCTCCAGATAACAACAGCACGTCCGCGTGTGCTTCACGTTTCCATTGAGCGAGGCCTCTACCGGCAGCGGAGCACGTGACCTCTCCCGGCAGCGGTGCACGTGACCTCTCCCGGCAGCGGTGCACGTGACCTCTCTCGGCAGCGGTGCACGTGACCTCTTCCGGCAGCGGTGCACGTGACCTCTCCCGGCAGCGGTGCACGTGGCCTCTCTCGGCAGCGGTGCACGTGACCTCTCTCGGCAGCGGTGCACGTGACCTCTTCCGGCAGCGGTGCACGTGACCTCTCTCGGCAGCGGTGCACGTGACCTGTTCCGGCAGCGGTGCACGTGACCTCTCTCGGCAGCGGTGTACGTGACCTCTCCCGGCAGCGGTGCACGTGACCTCTCCCGGCAGCGGTGCACGTGACCTCTCCCGGCAGCGGTGCACGTGACCTCTCTCGGCAGCGGTGCACGTGACCTGTTCCGGCAGCGGTGCACGTGACCTCTCCCGGCAGCGGCGCACGTGACCTCTCTCGGCAGCGGTGCACGTGACCTCTCTCGGCAGCGGTGCACGTGACCTCTCCCGGCAGCGGTGCACGTGGCCTCTCCCGGCAGCGGTGCACGTGACCTCTCCCGGCAGCGGTGCACGTGACCTCTCTCGGCAGCGGTGCACGTGACCTCTCCCGGCAGCCGGGTGCACGTGGCCTCTCCGGCAGCGGTGCACGTGACCCTCTCCCGGCAAGCGGTGTGCACGTGACCTCTCCCGGCAGCGGTGCACGTGACCTCTCGTCGGCAGCGGTTGCACGTGACCTCTCCGCTCCCGGCAGCGGTGCACGTGACCTGTTCCGGCAGCGGTGCACGTGACCTCTCCCGGCAGCGGTGCACGTGACCTCTCCCGGCAGCGGTGCACGACGTCAGCGCGTTCCCCGCGGACGGCCGTCCGTGACGCGGTGCGGTCTCCGACACGCGCGCCGCCCCGCCCAGCGTCGCCCAGAGGCGGCTTCGAGGGACGACAGGAGACGGGTGGCGGCGCCCGCCCTCCGACACTCCTGTGTGGGAGGACGGACGGCCATGGCCGCAGACGAAGCGATCTTATCTAGCGGCTCCCTGTTCCGCACTGACTAGGTCTCCTGCGAATATTACGCTCGCCTACAAAGACTGTTTCAAGCCACAGGATATCGGAACTAGGTAGTAAGTGCGTACCTTCTACGCACGATCTCTACGTGGATGATCAATCCATGCAAAGACAGGCTGCATGTAATATAGAAGCTGCTAATGACAGAACATGATGTAAGGCATCACTATATTACGATATAGACATGGAAACGTGTTCTAGGGATAGGTCCAGTCCGCAACCATGTTCTTGCACGGATGCTTTCCCACAACCACCGCAGTTGCACCGCTGCAGCGTTGCTTACAAGCATGAACACATGGTGTTTGAATGTTACATGTCGTCACCACCACGACGTCGTTTGCATGCATTATTTCGTGTCCACAGCCAGCGGCGAACGTGTCTCGACTCTGCAAAAGCCCGACGAACCCGCGGACCTCACGAGCACTCCAAAACGAGACTGTCGCCGGGGACGTCCGAGTGGAGTCGGGCCCTGCTTAAGGCAGGTCACGTCCACCACACCGTGCGTTGGGCGGCGGCGGCACGAAACTCATCCGCGCCACGGACAAGTCGGGCCGGCGGCGGCCATGTTGGGGAGGGGCGAGCCGGGGAGACGGGCGTGAGTCAGAGCTGGCTGAAACGCCGACCGATGACCACATGGGCGCGGGAGGTTGGGGTACGGCCGTGACACACAGAACGGGTCATTTCTCGTGGGTGGAACGTGGAATAAGGTGGAAGTTTTAAAAAATGTTTGCCGACGAACGTTCCCACTAAGACCATACATTTTCAGATACGTGACAGGAAGTTTCAGCGTTGAAAACTACAACAGAACGGTTGCAATGCATGACAGGGAGTGCGAGAGAATACGTTTTGCACTCGCATCTCCTCGCGAACGAGCGGATGCGTGTTCACTTTATCAGCATGAAATGAGCAAACCCGTTATTAAACCCATTAAATATCATAACCCGTTACATATATTAAAACCCGTATATAAAACCCGTTAAACCCTTACGACCAGTTAAGTAGGCGTGAGTACGAAACTGACTTCGGCTGAGGTTGAGGCTTCACTAGCCCGCAGTTTTCCTCTAGTGGCTTCGTGCTCGGCTTTGGCTGCAAGCCGTTTTCATGGTTGCCTTTTGCTTTCGTTTTGGCTTGATCCGATTTTTAAGGGCTCGCTTCGGCTTCGGCTGTGTGGCCATTCGTAACAGTTGTCTTCAGCTTAGGCTTTAATTTTGTTAATTGAGCTTCGGCTTCAGCCTCATGCGATCTTGCACTGCTGGCTTCGGTTTTGTCATGGTGATTTTTCTAATTGTAGTTGAGACTTCCCTTCACAAAAATAGTGAGACTTCCCTTCCCTTCACAAAAACGCTTGTCCTGTCAACACATCACACAACTTTCCAACACTCAAAACGCCACACAATTCCTTTGAAAAAACACAACTGTCCAAAACACTGCGATCTTGCTAATCGCAAGACGAGGAAGATGATCCCGAAAATCTTTCATCGGCAATGTTGCACTCGTCCCAATCGCTCTCCAAAATCCTGACTATATTTTCTGATCCCTTGCAGTTTTACCAGAGACGAAAATGATTTCGGTTTCGCAAAAACAACATTGTAATCGGCTTGATTCAGCTCCGAGTTCCACCCTGTGAGTTCCTGCTGACGGGTTCGGCTCTGACTTCGCGTTTCCTAAGTTCGAAGACATTAACTTCGGCCTCGGTCTCGCGTGATCAAAGTTCGAAACCACTGGTTTCGGGCTAGGTTTAACGTTCCAGCCACGACGTCCCTGGCCCCGGCATCGGCCTCGCAGTTCCGGACTTTGAAGCTGCCGCTTTCAGCTTCCACTGCGGCTTCATGCCACTGTCGTGGCCCTGGCTTCGACTTCGAATCTAAAAGCCTGGCTTCATCCCCATGCCTGCTGCCAACACCATTGATTTTCCGAGCGGCCCGCGCCTCGCGGCTGGCTTCATCGGGAAGTCACGCCACTGGCGCAAATAATTAATCACGGGCACGTGCTTTTGGCAAAAAAAAAAACGCGTCGCAAATAGCTCGATAGCGGGAGGAAACATTCTATTTAAACATAACTGCAACATACCACCACATAGGCTGCGGCAGGCCACTCTTTTCCGTCCAGGAATCCAGGACCATGGTGCTACGGCAGTGAATACTTCGGCGTCATTTCCTGAGACTGTGTGCCAAAAAACGGGCACATGGCATTCCAACACACGCCGAGGCTATACAATATTCAACAATTTTTGCTGCCTGTGGGAACTCGCCGATATACAAACAAGCTTGACCTGGCGCGCATCCGCGTTGCCAATGCCGTGGCATAGTACTCAACACGCCTTTCGGTAATAAATAAAGCGTACACAGCACGCCCCAGTTTTCAAAGTAAAAGAGCACATCACACGGTATACTGCTGACTTCAGTTTCCAATTCGAATGGAATGGAGTAGACTGCAAAATTCATTACATTTCGGTTTAACGAAACTGAAGCCGAAGCCCAGCGGCTTCAAAGCTCGGAACTGTGAAGCCGAAGCCGACACCCAAACCAAGTCACAGCGGGCTGTTCATTCTTCATCTACAACCGTAGGTTGTCAACCGCAGCACAGACAGTATCGTTCATACATGCCAAAATAAAAGATAACCCCAAGGCTAACTTCAAACCTAAACAAGTTGTCCACCAGCGTCCCAGCCCCGACCAACCGCCACAAAGACGAAAAGGATATATGATGTACCTTACGCTATCCCCCACCTTGTAGTTATGGCCGCAAAGTCGAAAAATTCGTGAAAAATTGTCAAAAAGGACAGAGCGGCTTGGACCAATTCAAGAGCAACTAAAACAGCACCCGTTCCGCACCGACTGCGCAGACCGACCGTACCTGATAGAAAGGGCAGGTGCGTCCCGTGTGCCTCTGGATTTGATAGCACTCGCTCTGCCCAAGAATGCAGTTTGTACCGAGTCACATGCATTCTGTGTCCGGGCTAGCCAAACAGGAGTGTACACGTCCGGTCTGTGTCAGGTTTCGTGGTCCTCGCGCGGGGGCATTCCGCAGATTCATCAATACCCGGTTGGGCTTCACTTTTCGGACTCAGCAGGGCTTTGGCGTTGCTTCCTGACATGCCGATACAAGGGAAAATATCATGCAAGCGTCTTTGGGTACGTAGCAAAAAGAACTTCACGCAGCAATTTCGGCTACGTGGCCCTATAACATTTCATAAACAGCGTCAGCAGTTGGCCCTTACTAGGATAACCGAGAGCATTTGCACCAAATGGACCCAAGTACACTTCTTTCGTATGTCCTGAATCAGCCTTGTGTGTCCACTTTCTATTAATATTTCCTTGATTGCCATTTGTTCGTCATCTTACTCTCATAAACATAAACAGCGTCCCGCTGTTCACAACCTGCGAAATATTTGCGAGGGTAAGATTGACCAATGTGTTAGAATGTCTCGGTAAATAGAAAATTTTCACATAAAGTGTCTCCATAAAACGTCCTACGTTCTGGATTCTTGTTTGTCTTTGCATTATATTTACGGTGAGCCAAAATATGAAAATTTCCAAGCTTCCACCTAGTTGAAGAGGGCATACTGCCAAAATATAGTTAGTTTTGCGGCCTATCGTATTGTACTCGAATTGGAGACT